GTTAAATATTGAGCACAAGAAGCTGTTACCGGAAATTTTTTATGCCAGATTCTCTGAATGTTGATTAAGGACTGCTCCAAATCCTCCAAGATTGGAAAAATCTGCATACAGTATATATATTCCTTAATGCACGAAAAACTTTTCACTCTTTAGCTGATAAAAAAAAAAAGAACACATGAATGACGGTACTAGAGAAGCATGCAAATGATAAGAACATGTCTGCTGCTTTTGGTTTTCATTTTCTCAATCACCAAAAAAGAACAAAAGGTTTTAACTAGAAGAAAATTTTAACTTAATCAAAACTCTATAATGTGATCAATAATGTGATCAATTTCATTGGCAGACACATCAAACTGTCTGTATTTGTGCCCAACTTACGTTGTTGATATGTCTGCATAAATGTCTGGCGTAAATCTTGCAAATTTTGAATCAATGAATTTTTTAAGGGGACCAAAAAGTGGAAAAATCTATTGTAACAACATTTTTACAAGTCATATAACCATTAACAGAATGTACAATATGGAAAGTTAGAAAGCCAACAATCGGGCAATGTTGCATTTCAATTGGAATATGATCATGCACATAAAACAATGTAACAATGGCAAGGAAATCATTTGAATTGATGCATACCTTTTCTGTAAACAAGTGTTGAACAATGGCCTTGAGGTTGCCTTCCCAATGCCCTACATATTCACCTTCAGTTGATTGTATTCCCTGCACCATCTTTGGACACTCTCTTATTATTAACTCTTCCAAGGAAGGGAATCCAAAGGCATAATTCCCTAAGCAGAAGCTTGATAGGCTCGGAAGACAACCAAGTTTCAAAGACTTCAGTTGGGAGAACACGATGCCGTCCATCACATCATCACTTCCACGAGCTATGATTTCTTCTATCATTTGGCAATCAGTAATACTCATTTCTGTGAGTACCACCATGCTTTTTGCCGTTGGGAGTGTTAATAAATTCTTAAGCCCATGACAATTCGACACCTGCAGATTTGTCAAATTTTTAAAGTACACAGAGGATGGCACTAAATTCTTCAATTTGTCACATTTCCGTACTCCTAGAGTTCTTAGGTTACTGAAAACTTCTCCAACTTGGTATTCTTCCTTCCAGAGATGTGTCAACTCAGGAAGTTCTATCAGGAATAATCTAGTCAACCGAGCAAGTGCTCCAGGATGTTCATCCTCATCCCAAAGTCCTTCACATTGAAATATTTCATTGAAGGGAGCTTCTCTAACACAAAGACCGTCAAGATTTGGTAATGACTGAATGAAACTGTTTAGGATAGTGGCTGATCTGTTGGGAATTCTTTCGAGCGAAAGAAGTATTAGTTTGCAAAAATATTGGGCCGGAAGTTGTCCATGCCATATCTCTGTCATAATGCCATTGGCTTCCAAAAATAACTTTTTTAAATTGGGAAATGTATTCTGAGAATCAAAATTAAAAAATACGTTAAACAAAAACAAAGATTTTGAATCGGTTCTAACTTATATTCTAATTTTAATCCCACCCCTAGCTTTTGAATTATTCTATTTAGATTCCTAACCTTTTAAATTGTCATTTTGTCACGAGCTTTTTTTGAGTGGAAGTGGAATCAAAATAAAAAATTAAAGGTCATGGATGAAATTTATCATGCATGTAAAACATTTTACTTGCAATCTTAATGATTAACCTTTTAAATATTTTTAGAAAGTCGAAATCCTTTGTTGTTTGTACAAAAAGAGTTTAATCCATAATTTGGTATCGAAAATTCAACAGTCTATAGATAATGTTATTGAATTTTTAATAATTGATTATGAATTCAATTTATTATAGAATACATCGCTTAGAATTATATTAATTCATACAAATATTGTAAATTTAATATTAAAAAATTTATTTAATATTTATATAATTATTACTTTTTAATATTACTTTAATTAATATTTTCTAATTTTATTATATATTTAATTTTAATATTATTTAAAGGAAATTAAATTCTAATATGATTAAATGGCAATATTCAATATTACTATCAAATAGTATTAAATAATATTATGCAAATAATATAATTTTATTTTATAAATACAATATTGTTTTTAATTAATTCTTAAAAATTTTATTTTGTGTATTGAATTATTATATATGCAACAATTTAAGTATTTTCTTTTCATATGTAACAAAATTACTTACTAAACATGTTCTATGTGTTCAAAACAAACTTTTCAAAAAAAAAAACTGAAAACAAGAAACAAATCCAAACAAATTATAAATACTTACATTCTACATAGTTATTAAGGGTTCATACCTCAGTGACCCAAAACAAGGGTTGTTGAGAAGAGATAATTTTCAATTGGCTCTCTCCATGCGTTTCCGAAAAGCCCAAATACTGCCTAGCTAATATCTCCACATTGTCGCATCCTGTCACCTCCAATTGTTTTAAGGATGGCCAGCTTGTCGTATGCAACCTCGAGTAGAAATTCTTCAATTTGGGTAGCCAATGAAGTATCAATAATCTTATTTTAGGAAATATAAACATGGTGGTTGATTTAGTGGAATTTAGTCCATAATCAAGTCCAATTACTTCTACCAAGGATTCACAGTTCAATATTTAAAGATTTTCAAGTTTGTCAAGTCTTTCCATCATATGAAATGAAAAAACATTTAGAAGTCTTTTACAATTTTTCACTACGAGGAGGGTTAATTCACAAAATGAACCAAATGTGAGTTTATCGTCCCATATCGTTGTCCAATATCCATTACCAACGATTACCAATTCACTTAAGTTAGAGAATAGCACCTACAAAATATTTATTTGATTGTGTTAATAAGGGGAAATAAATTATACTACTAGCTTGACAAGATACATAAAAAATGAGCAAAAGTATCAATTTCAAATCCTAACAAAAATTAAAGAAAGAAGAAATTAGTGGAGAGAAGAAGAGCTAGCTACAAACATAACCAAAGGATTCTAAGAGCATTAAAAACTAATAATTGAATTACAGAATTGGATGATTTAACTTGTAACTGTAATAACAATAATAATAAAATAATGAGTACTTAAAATGTACATATAAATTGAGCTAATTAAAGGTATACATCATCTATTACACTAGAAATTTGTTGCATTGTTTTCAATAATTGTTTTTCTTATAGATTAACTTATCAAAACCATAAAAAAAATTTTTCTCACTATCAAAACTCTAAATTAATATTACAATTTGATATATTTTAATTTGTTATTATCTTCTCGCATGCAAAAGGAGAAAAAAGAAAGTCATACACAAAAGTAGAGTGTGCTATACAACACATAAACTACTTATAAATAAATTTAAATAGGTCATTGAATAATTTGTGCAGTTATCAATTCATAATTATTTAATAATATACATATTCTATGAATTATGTAAAATCGCCATTTCGTTATATGGCTTTCTAATATTATGTTTTGCTTATATTATTAAATTAGTTCAAAGAAAGTACAATAAAATTGATTTATTAAGCTATTTAAAATTTATTGGCTATTTTTATATGTTATGAGACCTAAAATAAATTTAAATCAGTATTTTAATATATATATAAGTCATATCATTTATCAAATAAATATCATAATATTTCATTAATATTTTTGGGAGCATAAACATAATAGAAAATTTAAATTCATATTTTAATTATTTTATCTTTTATATTTACCAAATCAATATCTAAAAATTCCAATCGCCATCAAATTTTTATTTTGATCATATAAATATATAAAGTTAATCCATTCAAAACGATTAGATAATAATGGAAAATGCTTGAAGGATAATTAAAAAAATAACAAATAAAATCATCCAAATTTAATAGCAATATGACATTAAATAATATGAAAATAAACAGCCCTAAAAAAGAAAAACAATGTAAAGTTGAAAAGCAATACTCATTTTAAATCTAATTCAATTAGAGTATATCAAACAATCCATTTTGTGGCATATTATATAGTAATAATAAATTTCATACATATTTAAACTCCTTAATGATTTAATAGAATAAAAACTAAATTTTACTAAAAATAATTTAATTTGGTACAAAATTTAAGATTTATAAGGAAATAAATAGATAAAATAGTCAATTATTTAATTTCATATGAAAATTATCAATTAAGGATAAAGTTTATTTAAATAAAGTTTTCAATGATAATAAATAATAAATAATAGCCAATATTAAAAAATTATTAATTAAGGATAAAATAATTATTTAATAAATAAAAAGTTATTAACAATTTAAACTTCTGAACTTAATAGTTATATAAATAAAATAACGATAAAAGATAAAAATACCATCGTAAAATAAAAAACTAACATGGAAGGAAAAATGACTTTGAACTTAGAAGATGAGCCATAGGTTGCTCCATCATCTCCTTCATTTCCAACAATTTCTTTCATTGAAACACAGTTTTTTATCTATAAATTTTTGAGCTGGACCAAACTTTGGACTGCTAAGGATGTAACTAAGTTTATCATTGCTCCACACGCCCAAACATCCAAAGTCATGAGATTTTGAAAAGGTGTTGAGGATAATCCTAAACTAATCATATTGTCACAAAAGCTAACTTCAAGTGTTTCAAGATTGGGAAGAATCGTGACCCTTGCATCCACATGTGTTTTAGATAATGAAGGCCATTCAGTTTTAAGTTTCTAATTGGCAAAATTGTTGGAGCATTTGTCCCGTCATCAGCACCTCCTTTGTAAGAAAATAGATCTTTAAATTGGCAACAAAACACCTCAAGCTTTTCCAAATTATTGAATCTTTCAAGAAAGGTAGTTGGAAAAATAGCAGATTCATCGTGGTAGCAGAGCAGATTAAGAGCTTTTATTTCATGGAAAAGGCCTTTGGAAACATTGCTATCACATATTATTGCAATGTCATCACTGGTCAAAGACAGTTCTTCAAATTTGGGAACCACCTACAAAACCAAAGAAAAATCAATTACAGTTTTGTACTTTTTGAGTGAAAATGGACAATTTATCTACCAAGAGAAAAATTACAGCATCTAAGCATTTGGCTAATTGGTACAGATGTGCTTGTGTCTCCTTACTTAAAGTCTAAAGAGCTGGTGAATTTCCATTATAAGACCTTTCCCAAATTTAGAAAATTTAGAGAAATGATAAAATTCAAATTTGAACTAAATGATCAATAAAAAAAATCAGGTTCATGGTATTATTACAACTAGGTAGCTTTTTAAGTGTGATCCGGAGTTCATAACTTTTCAACTAAGAAAAGGGGTGGTTGGATTGGAGAGTCCAATTGGTTGTCCTCACTCATATCTGGCAAATTAAGACAACCGATGTCAAGTATCTTCAGTTTGTTGCAGTGGTATGTTTTCAACTTTTTTAACATCGGCCACTTTGTTGTATGCATCCCCGTATAGAAACATCTGAGATTTGGCAGGTTCCATAGCACGAGGGAGGACACTTGATCAAACTCAAAATTAGTTACACTCGTTTCCCATCCTTCCGCTTTTGAAACAATCTCCTCTACTGCACAGCTATCTACTTCAAGATCTTTAAGTTGTGGAAGAACTCTGGCAACCGAGGCTGGAAACACATTCTTCAGACTCCAACAGTACCCAATATCTACGACATTTAGATTTTGAAACGTTAAAATTCCTTGAGGGTCCTCGCCCCAAACATTCTTCAGTTTTGATAGATTAAAAACATACAATTCTCTTAGTTGAGCAGCCACAATATGTGTTTCTTTCATATTTAACCTTTGGAGTTCAAATGTGTTCCACTGAACCACAACTAGATACTTGTAGAGTTTGAAGTCCTTGAAATGTAGTCAACAAATCAAATGGAAAAATGGTAAAGAGCTCATTACAATGTTCAACTACCATTGTTTCCAATTTGCAAAAGGAATTTACAGAGAGTTGATTGTGCCACATCATCTTCATATTTCTCAACCAGGAAATACTCAGTTGCTCCAAAGTAGGGAACGCAACCTATGTGTATCGTGTAAAGATAACAAGAGTAATTAGTTCCAAGAATAAAGATAAAAAAAGAAAAGAAAGTATAGTACAGAACTTTATAACAATAAATCTACCTTTTCATTGAAGAGAGCTTGTGGAGAGAAATGTTGGTTCTTCTCCATTGTAGATTTAGATACGAATCCCCGCAACTGAGGACATTGCTCTATCTCCAGAAGCTTCAAGGATGGGAATTCAATATTATAATTTTCTGAACAAAACCCAATAAGATGTTGAAGCTTCCTTATCTTTAGAGAGTTTAATTGAGGAAATGAAATCGTAGCCTTGTCTTCTTCTTCTATATCCCCTGCAAATATCACCTCTCTTAAGCATTTGCATTCAACTATCTCAAAGCCTTTAAGATGCGTTAGACTTCTAGCCATAGAAGATGATAATAGCTGTTTCAAGTTGTCGCAACCCTCAATAGTCAAACTTGTTAGATTTTGAGTGCCGTACTCAGATATATTTGAAAACCGGATGTGCCATATCCTTTCAACATTGATTGAGGACAACCGAAGGCTCTCCAAGCAAGGGAACACCAACTACATTAATTTAATTATACTACATTATTAGAGATATTAAAAAATCAAAATATAACAGAAGAAAAAGACTAATCTTTCAGTATAACATGATCCGATAAAAACCAAGGAATGGTGTTTGCCAATGCAACGTCATGCAGTACAGTGAAAGAGAAATTACTTCCCCTCTCAAGTAAAAGTGATTTAGTGTTATCAATCTTTTATTCCAATATCTAAATGACTATTCTGATCAATTTTAAATCAAAATCAAATTAATAATAGTCACTAACTTATGTTATCAATTTCTTTTTTTTTTTAATTTGAAATAAAACATTAAATTCTCAAGTGAAAAATCATGTGCAAATTATGATTAAATTTTCATTCTGACATTTAGCCCCCCGAACAATAGAGCATCCACATTCAGGTCATGGTCTCATTGTCAATCACAAAGGCTTACATTTGAGAGTATATATAGTTTTGGAGGAAATCGAAAATGAGACCAACATAGATATGCATTTGAATGAGCATTTAAACAAAAAGGATTTATGTTTGACACTATTAGAGTATATATTTCAATACACTATCAATGAATGAAAGGTTGAAACCTCATTAATTAATAAACCTAAAAGCTAAAAAGTCCTTGAAAATAGACTACTTCAAATTTTGGATATTTGTTAGGATTTCACCTGATTGATGCTTTTCCTTTTTTTTTTCTCTATATCACTGATTTTTTTTTTTTTGCCTTTTCCTTTCTATTCATTTTTTTAAAAGCAAAAATATTTAGAAACTAACGTAAAAGAAAGACATACCTTTTCACTAAAAAGCGATAACTCATTTTGACATGAAGAATTAGAGCCCCTTTTGTTTTCAAAGCAAAAGCTAATGAGCTGTGGCAGACCATGAAGTGTCAAGGATCGCAATTGAAGACATTCATTTTTATAAGCTGCACCATCATCACTAATGATATATTCAATCTCTGAACCATTTTGGATATGGAGATTCTTCAACTGCTGAAAGCTTTCCTCATCCATCAGCTCATGCATTGCAATCTTGACACCTTTCATGTCATCCAAATATAGATCTTCAGTTTTCTTTAGAAACATCTTAAATCCATGATCCAACTCATCAACACTTGTATTTAACTTGAGTTTCAATGCCCTTAAGTGTTTACGCTCACCAACCCAATTCCATCCTTATACTATGAAAATCTTGTTATCTTTCCAACTTCTTGGAGAACAAGTCCGCTGGCATAATCTTGGCATCAGGAATAAGAACATCTAAAGTAGTCAGATGAGACAAAAGCTTCAATTCAGCAAGACTAGCATTGCTTTGTTGGTTGGCCCGCCTCTCTACTTCCCATTGAACAAAACTGTCACCCATATACAATTCTTCCAATCTAGACAAACTCGATAAGACCCCTGGTGGAATTATTTTGAGTCTGGTACAACCACTGAGATCTAACAACCTTAATTTGATCAATTCCCCAATTTCCTTAGGTAGCCTTTCAAGATCAGAACGCAAAAGGCTAAGAATTTCTAAATTCTTGAGCTCACCAACCCCAGCGATATCTCCCAAAATACATTGGTCTAGGCACAATGTCCGAAGGTTTGTTAGGAAACTAATTGACGAAGATAAGGACTGAAATTGCATATCAGTCAAATCTAAAACTTTAAGATTTAGTGTTTCCTTAAAAAAGTTGATTGGCAATTCAACGGAAAGATCCTCGTTATACAAAAGAAAAAGATCAAGTTGCGGACATTTCAACTCTTTGGGAAAATAGCTAATATTAGCATATCTCAAACTAATCATGGTGCATTTTTCCATTGTCAATCCATTAGGCCAATCTTCTAGATCATCTTCGTCTTTTAGTGCAAAGACATTGTAGTCCCTATAAGGGATTGCTAAGGCCACATCACAAATAAGATCATGCATATCAACACGCACATTTGTGTAACTATCACGCAACAAACAAGAGGATTTGAGTTCACTCACCACTGTCAACAATCTATCTCTTGACTCTTCCACTCTGTTGACACCATGAAATAAACCCAAACCAATTGTATATCTCAGCAAGTCTCTAATGAAAGTGTTGTGACCTAGCAGCCCGCAAAGCAAGAATGTCTGTTTGAGTTCTTGTCTTTCCAAATGGTTGTAACTCAACTCTATGGCTGAATAAACATTTGCTGGTACTCCTTTGAAGTTTGTTGGGGAAGGCCTTTGTAGTTTTCTCAAAGCATCATTCCACGCAAATAAGCCTTTGTTTCTTAAAGCCCTTGCAACTGTTGCAATGGCGACAGGCAGTCCTGCACATTTTTTGGCTACTTCAACTGCTGTAGATCGCAACTCAGGACTTTCAGCATCGTCTCCAGCCATCTTCTTAAACAGGTCCCAAGCTTCTTTATCTTCTAAAACAGATACTGCAAAATTTTTTCGAGCATCCATCTCATTCCTTAGAACATTTAGATCTCTTGAAGTGAGCAATATGCTGCATCCCTTATTTTCATCTCCAAAAGGAATGCCCACATCATTCAAATCTAGTTTCTTCCAAATATCATCTAAAATAACAAGAACCTTCTTCTCTTTCTTCAATCTTTCACGTAATCGACCTGCTCTTGCCTCCACACTCTTTTCTTCTAATTTTAGACCCAACAAATCTGCAAGTTGGTCTTGAATTTTTTGAAGGTCAGGAGTCTGATTCACAACTGCCATAATCACGGAATCAAATAACTTATCTTCTTTGGCCTGTCTACAAATTTCTCTGACTGGTGTTGTTTTGCCCACACCAGCCGTCCCATACACCCCTATCACGTTGGTTGTACCATCTTTCAATGCCTCTATGATGTCTCTAAATACTTTCGCTCTTGATTCGAACGCCTCAAAATCTTTAGGTGTTGCATCCACTATGTCTGCCGGAGGAGCAGGGCATGAAACGCAGTTGAATTCACCTTGTTGGAGGAGTTCATTCACAGTCGCAACAACTTCTTCAGCTTTCCTGCTAAGTCGGTAGCGAGACTTGAGGTTCGGGCACAAGCCAATGAAGCACTTGCTCTTTGCTTTGTCTTGAAGATCCCTCACACTTTTCACCTCGGCTTTGATTACCTTGTCCACCTTACTGCACCAAAGCTCGACGTCCGGTTTTATCTTCTCCACGTTCCTTTCTGCAGCTTCGATATCGTTCTACACACTTTCTCTTTTCGCCGCCAGCATCTTCATTTTCTCCTCAAACTTCTCACCATCCTTCTTATAGATTATCACATACCTCATATGCCGTTTGATTTCTTGGAAGATGCCTTTCGCAGCATCCGAAGAAAGATTGGCTGCAGCTCCAATAGCAATGGCTTCCATTTTTTTGGTTTTTTTTTTTTTATTTCAAGCAGACCAGCAAAGCAAATAAAAGAACAAAAAAGAGACAACAGGAGAGGAATCAACAACAAAGATAATTGACAGCATGCAATATATGTAATCAGTTATGGGTAAAGACAAGAAATGGTTTGGACAGACTCGTCTTCCGATCCAGCAACTATGAATGAGGGAACCAGAGATAAACAAAAAGGAAAAACAGAACAAGGGGACTAAAACTAGGTTAGAAAAAGGCAATAGCAGCAATGTGGGAAGTAGGGGAAAAGGTTTTTGGAATGAATGAGCAAATGAGTTTGAGCATAAAGTTAAGAATGGAAATTGTTTACACGAAGATCAGTTCAAGAGAAAGGTTGAAGATTTGGGTATAGAGAAGAAAGCGCAAGGACTTTTTATATAAGCCGATGGCAAAGATTAATTGAATCAGTCATCACATTGCACAAAGTCCTTTCTTACTAATTTTTAACAGTTCCACATTGCAATTTGCAATATTTTAGGGCTAATTTTTTCTACTTTAACTCGGCAATTTGTTTTCATCTTCCTTGTAATGCGAATTATTCACAATTTCACATGCTCTTTGTCCAGCAAGTCAACGTTGAAATACCAATTATCAAGAAAGACTGACCCAGTTGCCAGCTTTATTAATACAATATTATCACTTCACCTACATTTTAGAAAAAAAAAAAAACAAAATTCATATGCAGACAAAGTTCTATGGTATCAATTATAATGAAGCACGTACTCTTAGTACTGTTGGTTGGTATCTGTGAATTCTTAATAAAGCAAACAGTTGTAAGCCATGATAAAAAGGATCATGAAAAAAAAAAAAAGGAAATCATTTTTAGTTTGTTGATTGTTTTTATCCCACTAACCTCATTTGGATTCCATCGCATTGGTTCGCACCAGGAAGCACCCCGCCAGTGGACTGGCTTGCAACGGAAGAGAAATGATCTAATGATTCATTAGAACATAGGGTTGGCAGCAGCTTCCATTTTTTTTCACCAGACAAGCAAAGCAAGTTACAGAACAGAGCAATCAGGGTATCCAGCAGACCGAAGAATGAAAATAATGAAAAAACAGCAAGAACAATAAATCAATAATAAAGCTGTGACCAAGACAAATGAGTTTCGAAAAGACAGCTGTTTCAAATGCTGTCAAAGAGCCAAAAGGAAAAGGCTATAGAACTAGTTTGAAATCAGTGAATCAAAGTAAAGGGATTCCAGTTTTTTGGGCTTAAATCAGTGAATCATAGTCTCAAATGCTGTTTTTTACAAAATAAGATGTATCAGTAACCCTCTTCCTAAACAATAATACTACAGCCAGTGAAGCTGTACAATGGGCTATCATCCATATGCAACTGTTGAGATTTAAACCTGATCATCTATATATCTTGAAGTTCTGGCTGACAACATGGTTACTGGAGGTGAAAAGCAGAGTTAATGAATAGGTATTAACGGTTGACAATCTTAGACAGATTTTGATTTGGTCTGCCAAAATGGTGCTCTTGTCGAAAATGGAAAAATGACGTCATAGACATTGTGAAAGAATCCTTTATCGTACATATTATTCTTTACAACACCTGCAGTATCCTCTAGAGGGGACCTTCTGAAGAAGGATTCACATTTGCTCTCTCGAGGCCTTCCTTCGCATCTCATCCCAGTGATGCTGGCTTTCAATGCTGCAGTACTTGCTCTTGCTCTTGCTTCACGCAGTTTGTTCTGCCAGGTTATGTAGTCTTGCCACTTGAAGGTCTGTATTTTCAGACAGATGAGAACATTTGATTCTAGTTTCAGGGTTTCATTAACAACCTAATCAGCATTGCCAACTATTTCCTGGTTTATGTTCGGTCAAGGCTGAATTGGTAAATTAAGGTAACAAAATACTGAACAAGGTCTAAATAGATCTCACCTCATTTGTTGTGATGTTTATGAGACAAAGATTAGCATGATATGCAAAGAAACCTGCCAGCAAAAGAAACTATAGCCATGAATACCATAAGTAGTATTTGGGTGTTAAATGAGCCCAACAGCCACTGCGACAAACCAAAAGATAATTTATTAAACTCCAAATATTGACTGCAAGACCCAAAACTTAAAGCAGAAAATATCTCAAAATAATGAAGACACTATAGGAAGTTAATCTTCCTATTGTTGTTTCAAAACAAAAATTGTAGCCTCACATCAAGCAATAACCCTTAGCAATAACTCAGATAACAAAATATAAATGACACTCACTTGCACAATATGAGGAGCTAAACTGTCAAAAGAATTATCAACACCATAATAAACTGGAAAACCAAAGAAAGTGGCACGGAACGTTTAGTCTTTAGATAATTAAGAAACTAGAAAACCTAAGTCGGAATCGTCATGCCTGTTAAAATATATACAACTCTCAATTCTTTCAATCTTCCAGCAAGAATCAATCCAATAGCAATTGCCCCATACATGCACAGAAGGAAATGCCTGCAGAATGCTAAATATGAATTTAACATGAATTTTGACCACTAAAATGGAAAAGTAGCTTATGTTATAACTCATATACCAGGACAAGTTGTGCATGGACAAGTAGGGAACAAAAGGATAAGCAGTGTTCTCAATCTCAAAAAAAGCTGCTAATGAACAAGTGCTATATGTTAAAGGATAAAACAGAAGACACTGCTCAATTACTAGATTTAGATCATCGCTCCAACCAAAATTAATGCAGCCTTGATATCAACAACTAGTTTACATTAATGGACTTCAATGGTGAAAAGCTCCAGTCATAGTTAATGACAAAACCTTGACTATGACCCTACTAATTGACAGCATAAGCTATAGTGATGGGTAGTTTCAGCCTAGTAACTAGAGGCTGCTCATGTTCTCCTAGAGAACATCATACGTATCTATCCAGCACAAGGGTGAACAAAAACGTAAAAGGAAATTAAGTAAACTAAATGAAAACATAGATTGCTAGCTGCTGATAAATAGTGCAGAACTCACCATAAAAGAAAAGCCAAGAAGTATCGGGTATTTCTTTCCCCCATACAATTGTTCTGCAATATGTAACACCATCTTTAGTAGACATGAGATTCAGATACCTTTAACATGATGTACATAGAACAACTCGCAATACAAATTAAAATAAAGAAGAAAATAATAGTTCAAGATGCACAACCATCCATCCACAATGATGATCAAAGCAGGCAACACATCGATTGCATAAGCTGCAATGCTTGAATCTAGCAGGTCTGGATCAATAGAATAATCCCATCACATCTTACAGAATTAAAAAGCCACCAATAAATATGACACCAAACAGTTAACCTAATTGGGAAGTTTACATGTCGAGCATTCTTTCTCTGTATAAATGATATTGTCATAAGGATAAGCAGATAGATATTGTGAAACATTCTCTGCCTTCATGGTACCAGGATCAGAAAAGCTAGTCAATAGAAAGAGCACAATGCCGATACCAACTGCCAACAAACGTGTGTACCTGCAAAAAATCAAAATCTGAGGTAAAAAGAGAAGACAATCATTTTGAAGAAATCAGGTTACAGCAGAGAATTCACTTCTTAGCACATACCTATGCACTCCACTCAGATAATACCCAGGAATATAGCTAAAGGATGTCTTTGCTATAATGTAATAAGTTGCACCAATTGTTGCCAAGTATATAATCTGTCACAAAGAGATAGTCAAAGAAAGTGGTGACCACAATATGAACAAAAAATCCCCCCTTTCTTGTAAAAAACAACCCTTAAATACAAGATCATCTTTCTCAATGGTGGATTTTAACGTAACGCACTTTTAAAGCTAAGGTAGAATACTTGGACATCTAAATCATGTATTCTTACCATTTTCATCAGAAAACAATTTCTTTCTATACTATTTCGAAGGTTTTTCTATACTACTGTAAGTTTCTACATTTAAATGGCAGTCACAATCACATAGAGCTTTGACAAAACAAAACTTCTATTCAGTTTATCATCGTTCATCAAATTTAATGCGCATAGTTTCCAATCAACTGAACCCATGAATCAAATATCAAAGAGAAAACAGAACGCCAACCCTCCTATAATTCAATCTAACAACCTTGGCTTGGCCCTGCAGTTGTTACTCCTCACAAGGCTAACTCCCAATTTTCAAGTTCTCCATCTACTCTAGAACTTCCTCATATGTAATGTAACAAAAGAATCTTATAATTCAATGTTTTAGCATCAAATTAAGTCAAATTAAACATCATTACCTAAGCTATCTTGCTTTCTAATGTTTCCAAAGAACATAACTTTCATGTACCCCAATTCTAGTTCTAGCATAAAATTCCAAATTATAACACACTGAATACCAAAGTTCATTCACACTCATTCACAACCATGCTATGAAACAAGAAAACAAACTCATTTAGAAAAGGAAATCAACTTCATTTTCCAGGGGCTTCAATTCGATAACTTTCAATTGGTTAGAATTATACCTGCAAGATAGGATTAGGCCTATCACAACAATAATACTCAACAGAAAGGATCAAATTTGTTCCGTTATCTCCGAACACAGCCCCCACAAACTTCCTGAAACAAATCAAAACAACCAAAAATCAGAAACCCAAACTGAAAAGAAAAAAGAAACAAGAAGAACCCATCAAAGGAAAAGTGCAAAAAAAAGGGAAGCACAGGAAGTATTGATAGGCTCCAAAAGTGATGAAACGGTGGATGTAGCTGATCGGTGTTCCTTGGAAGAGAGGCCACTGCCCACAAAGGAAAGAAACAACTACAGTAAGAGTTAACAAGCCATAGCATATCAGTGCCCAATGTACAGCCATCCTTCTGAAAAAAAAATATATATTTTCTCTCGGTATTGGAGAGAGGGTAAAAAGTGGGGATTTTGAGAGAGAAAATTTGGAACTTTTGGTTAGATTTTCAGGGGCCGGCTTAGTTGGACTATTGGGTGTTATGTTTTGTGTTTTGTAGTTGTGCTGTGGCAGTTCCTGAGTTCGGGTTTGGTTTTTCGAATGTTGTCTGACTGGGACAAACGTTCAGGAACGTTTTTTTTTTCCCTTTTTTTTTCGCTTTTGAATATTCATTGGATCATTTCAATTCTGAAATTCTGGTGGGTGTTTGGGAATAGGGAATACGATGCCAAAATTGAAATTAAAATATAAAAAAAAATCTCTAATAGAAATTCTTATAATTCAACTACTTGTATTTCCAAAATTCATTTGTATTTGATTTATTGGACTTCTTTCTTTTTGAAAAAAAAAAAGACAATTAGGCTAAGAAATTTATTAATAATTCATGGTTTTAAAAATAAAAAATGCAAATCAAACTTATTTGTCTTTGAAAAACAATATATTTTTTACTAATAAGTTGATTGAACCTTCAAATAATCAATAACACTATGGTAATCTTGAATTTTCATAGTCATTTGAACTTGAAATTTGTGAAGAAATGGCAGAATTCAATCAGCCACATTACAATATTTTTATTTGCAATCCAAACAGAAGATATAGTGATATACTATATTGAGAGAATCTTTTTTTATGCATGTAAAAGTCAAGAAAAAAAAAAAAGAAGTTAGCCAGTGAAGCCAGCTGCAATTAGATGTCAGCATCAGTGATGTTATCCTCTATAATTTCAATGCAAGATCCTACAGATTTTCCCATGGACATTGCCTCTGCAAGTTTAGCTCGTCCTACTTTATGGCGGCGCAATAGTAAGATGGTGTTTAGTACAGACCATCTAACTTGGGAATCTGCTTTCTTTTGTGTGAATCCCAAGCCTTTGAGCAATACATCCAACTGCTCCATGACCAGAAAGTTCAATCAGTAGTGAAACTCCTACAGCTTGGTTTTCGGTATCCAATAGAAGTTGAGCAGAGGTATGCTGTACCTTGTTTATATCAGCAAGGCCACCCTCAGCATATCCGTATAACAGATATTCAGTTGCCACACCTGCTAGTGCTATGCATGAAAATCTGTTCAGTGTCTGCATCAGAAACATTCTTATTACCATAAGAGTTCTTGTCACTTTTTATGAGGCTGTGATCTGAAATCTAATACGCTTAAGAGCAATAAAATGAAAAATGTGAGAAGTAGACTACTTACTGTAGCTGATACTTTCCCTGCATTTACCTGCACGAAATCAAAATGGTAATTTATAAATCTGTATGATGGTTATGGCTGCGGTACAATTAACTGGTGTGGTAGAGCCTTCTGCTCTGCTGGAATATAATTCGAGTTTCTTTTAAGTAGGATTAAGGGTCACTGTTTAGGACCTTGGAAATAGATAAGGCAACCCTTGTCTCTCCACCCCTCCCCCCCCAAAAAAAAAAAAAACTGAAGACAAAAAGGGGGGGCTGCAACAGCAGCTGAGTGGAATATAGCAGAAAGTTACATAAATGAACAAAAAATTTGAAGAAAACAACTTACTTCTTCAAGGAACTCAAAATCAACAAAAGCTGTTCCTGCTTGAATATTGAGTGATCCTTCTTTCTTTAAAGCTTCCAAACTAGTTAATGTATATCCTCTGGGAAGAATACCCACCAGGTAAGCGATCAAGAAATGACCAGCTTCATGCTGCACAGAAATCTTATACACTAAATAGTTCGTTTCTATGGAAATCAGTTTCATTCTTTCAGCAAAATGAAAGACTAATCAGCTGATAGGTCATCAAGATAAAGAGCAGCATTAACACATATTTATGAAGTAATTATAAATGGGGATCATTAACTATAAACTGACCAAAATTAGAGAAAAATATAGAAAATAAAAGAGAGAGGTCTTACTTGGATAACCCTGTTGTGGTATTTCTGACTGAAAGTGTGACCAACTGTGTCAAGGACCAAGCTACCAACTCCTCCGTTGAAGGAAACCTATACAAAACACTAGCATGTTGTAGAAAAGAGAGGTTTTTGCCCCATTACTATTTGTAAGTCAACCAATTGATCCATGTTTAGAGCATTGAATTCTAAACTAGAAATCTCTTGTCAGCCAACAGAACACACTCATGGAATTCTAAATGAGTTAGATCAGCTTGAGGAAATTACCGAGTCCAGTGTCCACAAAAACAAGAATCCCAAAGAAATAAACAGGATTTGCTGTGGGCTAAAACTAAAAGCATTCCATGTTGCAACCCCTCCTAAGATAGCAGCAAGCTGCAGGTTTCTTTCTATTGCACCTAGAGTTGCATCCACCGGCGATAGAAGAGATGCAGTTTCTATTCCGTTCAATCTCAATTCATCCAAGGTGTAAAGTCTTTGGGGAACCTGCAAGCAATTTTACTCCTCAAATCAACCGCAAACCCTACACTGTAGACTATGTAATCATAACAAAATACACAACTTTGGCCTTGTATGTATCCCAAAGTTGTGGTAAATAAACTCCAAAGAAAATCATACGTTGGCGCCATGTTACGTTAAAGAGAAGCCTGCATCAACTGAAACACCAGGCAGAAATCTCAGAGCTGTTTTCACATTTCAAACATGGGAAACTAAGCATTAACTACCAAATTTTCATGTGATTCACAGCAGACAAAAATTGCAGAATTTTGTAATGGGAACTTTCCAACTCAACCTGGGCAAACACATTTTAATGACTTATTTACGAATTCTCTGGTTTCTGATTTACTACTTCTCATTTCAAAACAAAAATTAATGAAAACAAAGTAATCAAAAAACCATCACAGTTCATAATTAGTATCAAACCTGGCGAGCTGCACCAAAACATCGAAGCCCACCAGGCTTTCCTTGCAAGGCCTTGACAAGAGAGAGTGCAGCCCTCTCATCTCCCTTGCTCAGCTCCTTATCCACTTGTTCCAACACTTGTTTTCTTGACACTCCAATTTCGGATGAGCTCACAATTCTAAATGAGGACAATCTCTGTCTTGGATATGAACTTAAGTTGCAATAATAAACCAAAGAGCCCATAACTATAGAGAAAAAGAACTAATTCAAAATTCAGTAGTTTTCTAACATAACATGCCATGTCTCTTTCATCTTTAAGTTGCACATTTTCTCAACCACGCAATTATGATAATTCTAAAACGACTACAAAGATTTATAACAAATGAAAATACACTAAAAAGAACCAAAGGATAAACTAATTTTTTTCAAAAAAATTCCTAACAGAATATAATTTTATAAAAAAAAGGACAAAACGAGGGAAATTAAATCATTTTATTATCAAATATTATGTAAAATAATTACTAAAAGGAAAGATATTTCAAAACGCACCGTTTCTCCTTTACACACCAACTACCAAAAGGGATAATGTACTTTTTAGTAAATTTCACTTCATCCAACGACGCCGTATCCATCGGACACAGTAATTCGGAAATGAACTTCACGGCTGAACGCCACCTCGACTCTACGGCCTCCATAATCCAACTCTTCAACCGGATGGGAAGAGACGGCAACTTCATCTGCTTCTAACAAAAACACTTAACTATAGTTTGATTTTGCCATGAGCTAATTTCGCATTACTTCAATGGAAGCAGCTGGATAAAGTAGTTAGATGGTTGGGTTACACAGAAAGTCGAGCAGATGATCAAGTTAGATCGGCTGCAGTGAATACTGTTTCAATCTTGCACCATCAAAACGAAACTAGATCAAGACTGGCCGAGGCAATGGCATCGAGGAATCTAAATGGTATGTTGATAAAATAGAGAACATTGTAGCTATGTTGAGCCCCCAAGCTTGATGATGGCATCCCCCAACCTGCTATCCTTAGGGCAAGGGACCTGGTCACCTGGGCAACTATAGAGAGCTTTAGCACATGAAGCAATTCCCTCAACCTACTGCCCCACGCAATTGTATGGAAGTTTGGTAATGTAACTAGAATTTTCATCAAGCAACTTGATGCTTTCTTCTGTACTTACATGCACAATCTAGTTCTGCCTTAACATCTGAGCAAGCCAGCAAAATCCAACATTGGTCCATTCTTGCTCAAATCGAGAAGGAAATTTTTAGAAAATTCTGGTTTCTGATACATCAATCAATTCTTGTACCACAAACTTGTGGGCAAACCAAAACAGATTAAATTCCCAAATCAATGTGATAGAATAGGAACAAAAGAAGGTAAAGTTAACATAACTAGCTTGATATATATCTGCTTTGCTCAAAATATAAACACAAGGAGTTCAAAGCCCAAAATTTAAGAAAAAAAAAACCCTAAAACTAAACATCCGGTATTATACGACTGTTTTGACAAAGCCCCAACAAAACAAAGAGTAAGAAAAGGCCTAAAACTCCTGAGAAGCTGATCCAATATCACCCTTGCCCTTTCCCATTTTCTTGGGGAGTAGCGTCTGGTGAATGTTAGGCAAAACACCTCCATTTGCAATAGTAACCGAACCCAAAAGCTTGCTTAATTCTTCGTCGTTCCTCACTGCTAATTGGATGTGTCTTGGAACTATTCGATTCTTTTTGTTATCTCTCGCAGCGTTTCCAGCAAGCTCTAGAACCTTAAACAAGCAAAAAGAATTGAAATTGGAATTAAAAAAAAAAAAAAGGAATTATTTATTTAATATAATAATCGAATCCGAAAAACTTATATAAATCACAAACTTCTTCCCAAATCAAACAAAACCCAAAATGGAAACCTCTTAAAAACTCACCTCAGCGGCGAGGTACTCAAGCACGGCAGAGAGATAGACGGGAGCACCAGCACCGACACGATCGGCATATTTCCCAGCTTTCAAGAACCTGGCGATCCTCCCCACCGGAAACTGAAGACCAGCCTTCTGCGACCTCGACACCGACTTCGATGCCTTGGGCTTACCTCTCCCTCCTTTCGTTGATCCTCCCATGGAACTCATCTTCAAAATCCCTAACCCTAAATTTCGCTGTTGTACTGAATCTAGAGATGAAACTGGAATCGTTAAAAGCAGAGGCTTAGAACTCAATGGAGCGTTTGAAGAAAAGTGAGTTCGGTGGTTTATATAGCAGAGTATGGAGAAATTTGATTGGTAGAGTAAATGCTCACGAGGATTGCCAACGAGGCACGAGATTTTTGGGTTTTCGCGGGAAATGTTACTCTTGTTTGGACTTTGGAGTTTTCTCGGTTCTTTGTCGGGTTATTGTCTTTATTCAAGTGGCGTCGTATAATTGAAGGTGTCCATAGCCCAATTGATGCCCTCTAAAAGAAGCCCAAAGTTATTCATAAAGCAGCCATTGCCCAATCCAATTCCTCTTTTTGGGCCTCAAATATCAAATCAGAAATATGTGACCGGTCACTTCACGTCCGAATAAATTCCTATTTTTCTCATCACTGATGCGACCGTAGCCTTGGTTCTAAGTTCTATCTAATAACTATCGTCGACGTTCTCCGAACATTTGATTTAATAAATTTTTTTTTTATTTTTCAAGATCATAATTTAAGAATAAAAAATTATAAATATTAAAATTTAAATTTTATGTTTGTTAAATATAAATATTAAGTTATATATATCATGTCAGGATGAGATTTATTGGATGAAAAAAAATTATTTATCATTACTTAATTGAATATCACATGTAGCCCAAAAATAATAGGGTAATAAGTTTGAGATACTATTACAACTTATATTACAACATTATTGTGCCATTGTTAGTAAATAGGTTGGATTTTTTTTTTTAGTATATATGAAAAAGATTAATACAAGAAAACGATATTTAAATCTTAAATTTATCGCAAATATTTTTATTCTATTACTTTCCATACATTAACTTAATAATGCAATGATAGTTATGAAAGATAGGATTAGCTATATAGGATTCTCTTTCCCAATAGAAGAAGAAAAGTTGGAGTGGTGACATGAGAAATTCCATCATGAAAGAAGAGGTTGAATGTTATATAATGTTCATGGACACTACTCCAATTGCTTAAAAGTGGATCTTGATTGGTAACCAGAGAAAAATTCTTAATTTAGAAATGCCCTCAAGTTTCCATTTTTTTCCTCATTGCTTGCTAGCAACCATGCATTGAATCTGACCCTAAAATGGCAAAGAGATTCCCCTAGCCATTAGCTAATTTTTAATCTTGTCAGTAACCAATTTCTAGGATTACTTTGCATTTTCATTTTTTTTATATAAGATTAATATCATGTTTGCCCCTATTAGTCTTAGGTTATTAATCTTTGGAATTTAAAATTAATTAAATTAATTTATAATTATTTTTAAAAGATAATATTTATAAAAAAAAAGTCTTTGAGTTAAAGAAAAAAATATTACTAAATACACCTTTATTTTTTCTCTTCACACTTTACTTTTTTTATTTTTTATAAATAAAACTATTTAATTATTCTTCTCACCACTTTATGAAATTTTATAACATTTCAAAAATAAATTTATGAAAAGTCATAAGTTTTTTTAAATTTTATTTTTGAACAAATTTATAATTTTTTGAAAATTTTTATAATTTTTAAAATTTTACATGAAAGAAAAAGTAATTAAATAATTTTATTTATAAAAAAAATTAAAAAATTAAAATATAAACAAAAAGTCAGAAAACATTTAGTACCACTAAAAGAAAAATGACAAGGATCATGAAGAAGATAGGAGAGGGTGACCAAAAATGCAAAAGAGGCCAAAAGATATTAAAGGAAAGTGGGAAGAATGATGTAGTGAAATTTGGTCCATTCAAATAAAAAAATAAAAGAATTGAGGGTTGGGGGCATTTGCCTTGGGGAACGGATGATAAAATTTATTTAACTATTTATTCTTCTCACCTCTCCAATCTCCATCCGCATGGAAAGAGGGTAATCCACAAGAATCCAAAAACTGTTCCTAGTTGTTGACCAAACACAAATGCTTCCAAAACCATTCTGTGGGCTGAGGGATGCCTAATAGTAAAGAACACCCCAAAGCTGCCGCCTTGACAGTGATGTTCATAGACAATGACAGCAGGGAGAGATGCTAGCTGTTTGTTTTTGCTTCTTCAACTCTTTTTTTTTTTTTTTGGTCATGATTATCTGATACAAAGTTGTTCCACCACAGCATTTTGTTTTGGGATCATTGCAAGGACAATTGCATCTAAATAATCATGGCAATCCCACTTAATAATCTTTCATGTGAATTTGTTTTTTTAACAAGAATTTGAGATAAATTGATTATTTGGTTCTTTGTAAAAAGAAAATGCAAAATACACCGTATCATGTCTTGAAAATTTAACACTTAAAAAAGAATAAAACTTGTTAGAGTATGAAAATATAATTTATCAAAGAAATTGAATGAATCTTAATCTATATGAATTTATGATAATATTTATATTATATAAATTTGACGTGATTAGATTTAGATATGATAATTTTAAATATAATATAAAAATTAAATTAAATTTTTAAAATAATTCGTATATAAGTTTTAAAAAACATATTTTTATTAAAAATATCAATATAAATTATAATATAATAATTTATATATTTTTACATGTATTTAAAAAAAATAAATACAACAAAGATATATGAATTGTAAAATGTAATTAAATCTTATATTTTATCAAATTAAACTATATTTAACAAATTTTTTCTGATAATTAATTAGATGTGAATTAATTAATGGCATTAGTGAAAACAAACTATATTTTAGTGGGAAATCAATACAAAATCCAAAGAGACCATGTGATTAGCAAAATATGATGTACTCTCAAGTATTTTATACCACTCCCACATTATAATAGGAGAATTATTATGCCATTCAGATGAAAAGTATTTAAAAAATGAATAAATAAATAAATACTTTGTCAAGGAAAGCTCATGGAATATGAATTATGAGATAGAAAAAGGTGACAGATACATATGGGTAGGAAGTAAGTTAGAGAAAGAAAGAGAGCTTTACCCAACTTTGTTACCTATAAAATTTGAGAAAAATTGGTGTGAACCCATGGATAATGGTAATGCTAAAGTGGGTTGCCATATGTACAGTAATTCAAACATTTAACTTAGATAATTCATATAATTATTTTTAAAATATAATATCTTAGAGTGAATTAGTAAAAACAATTGTAATAATTCAAATTTTAATTTAATAAATTTATATAAATATTATTAAGAGATGATATTCAACGAGTATAAATTTAAATTTTAACACTTACTATCCTTTTTATTTTTAGATTATAACTTAATTATATATATATATAAGAAAATTTAAACCTATTGGTATATATAAACTCGATAATTTAATATCCACACTTAACTCATTTTTATCATAAAATTATAATTTAATAAATATAATTGAATTATCTTACTTTTTATTTCCAAAAATATAACACATGCATTTCAAAAGAAATTAAAGTAAAATAATTTTTATGTATTAAAACAAATATCGTATTTATTTGATTGATCTACTTAAGAAAATCATTAAATTGATATAATTCAAAATATGTGTTTTTTTTTATTATTGGAAAAGAATATCAATATTTATTTTAAAGTTTAATTGTTTTCTTCAAAATTAAAAAAGTTACCCAAAATATTTTTTTAATACATTTTTATTGATTTTTTTTTTGAGAATTTATAACATAAAAATCTAACAAAGTTTATAGAATTTAACTGACTAAAAAAAATAAATGTTTTTATACCTATTTGGTTATATATTTTTATTACATGCAATTGTATGAATTTAAAATAAACATTGGAATCACTATGAAATTATCAAAATTAAAAAGCAATAATTGTAAAGAGTTTAGCTATATTAGATTACAAAATTTTGTTTAGTTTTTTTTTTTTTTTAGAATAATATTGTGTATTGGTTTAAGTCTGGAATAAAAGACAGTCATGTTTTAAATACATTAAATCCAAACAATGACACTCCAATTTTTTTTATAAGAAACCCAACTTTTTTTTCAAATCTTTTAATAAATTTCAAACATCCATACATTATTAAAAAAAAAAGTGCAAGATAAAATATTAATTAAAAATTTTCATTGAATCAATGTTGTTGAATTATTTGGTCAAAATAACTATCACTTAACTAAAACCTCATATAATATAACTTATTATATATCATAAAATTAAAACTAATGAGCTACTTCTAACAATTTTTGTTAGTATTAAATTTTATTTATTATATATATATCATGTTAGATATAAATTAGCAAAAATTATTTGTCCATGTTATTACTTCTAAAATTTTTTAAATCATCAAGCAATACGAATATATTAAAAACACATTACAAAAAAAAATGATATATATGTATGATAGAATAAAATTGTATATATTAAGGTTACATTTTATGTATATGATTATTTATAAGATAGAATAATAATTATCTTATATCATATTTGATTTTTATAAATTTTGAGGAGGGATAACTTTAACAAATAAATAAATTATCTTATGTTAATCTTTATATATATCAAATATAAAATATGATGATATTAGTTAACTTAATTCCATTTATAATATTATTTTATTTTATCTATTATTATATACTGAACATGACCTAAAAATAAACAAATATGATATTTGAAAAGTAAAATTATAAATAAAAAGTAAAATCATATAGCAAAAATAAAAAAAAAGTCCATGTTTTTTTTTTTTTTTTATCTCACTTCATGAAATATGTAGGGTTAATAATTCAACTCGAATTTGTTGGTTCCAATATGATCCAACCCTATAAAATTATTTTTATTTTAATTAGGTTTCAAGTTGGGTTACGTTTAAGATGAAAAAAATCGAGGTCAAGTTTTAGGTAAATTTATCTTATCCTGACCTAGTATATATATAAAATATTTTTTATTATTATTTATTTAATTTTATATTTATATATTTATATTTATTTAATTTATATTAAAAAATATTTTATAAATTTTGAATTGGATCAAATCCATTATAATTTTATATGCAAGTCGAATTCAAATTTGAATATAAAAATAATAATTTAATATCAAATTTGATCGAATTTAAATATTAAATATATAAAATTAGGTTAGATTTAAAGTGAGCAAAAAATTTATTTTGACTCGATTTGTATCTATATCTTGGAATATGAGATTTCTAACTTATTATATAGTAAAAATTTTAACTACAATATTTTGAATTCAAGCTAATCAAAAAGTAAAATGGCTTTTATAAATTTGAAGTAATTTATGGTAAAAATTATTTTTTGTATTAATGATGGTAATGAGATTTTCGTTATTTTTTATAAATTTTATTTGAGAATGATTTAAGAAAAAGAATAAAAATAAATATTTTTAATTTAATTTTTTAAATTATTAAATTTTATATATAAAAAAACATATGATGATTTTTTAAAGATAATTCATATATTAAGGCCTTTCCCAAATAATTTATTTATATATTTATATAAAGATTATATTAAATCTGAATTGTTAAATGATTTTTTTTTTTCAAAAAGTATTTAAAAGTTATTGAAAATAATTAATTAAAAAATTACATAATTAAATCCACATTGTGGGACCCACAGAACAGTTATCTTTCTGCCGGTCATTTTGTCGTCTCTCATGTCCGCGTTCACTTTATGTACATTTTAGCATTTCACCCTACACATTTTCTAACACGCGCACACCTTTCTATCCATCACCCACTCCACACATCACACATACTGTCATACAGCCCTCTCTGTTATATTGCTGTGAGATTTATCCTTTTATCGTTTACTCTCTTTTCTCTGTTTTCTTTTGAAGAGATTATTAAGCCAAAAAATGATCCTTTTTTTTCTTAAGAACTTGATAATGAGTTGAACAAAAAAAAAAAAAAAAAAGAAGAAAAAGGAGGGATCTTTGGGGAAAAAGGAATAAGAAAAGGTTAAAATCTTTGTTGGGTTGTTATTTGATTTTGGTTTATGATATGAATTGTGGGTTTGAGTGGTTCTTCAAAAGGATCTGTTTTAAGCTTTTGGGTTTTTTTTTTGAGTGTTTAAAGAAGAGGGAAATGGCTGGAAGTAATGAAGTCAACTTCAATGAGTGCAAGGTACAATCTTTTTTCCTTCTTTTCTTTTTTTCCCATTTTGTTCATTTCCTTCTAGAATTGGTTCATCAAAGATGGGTTTTTAATAGATTTTTTTTATATATTTTCGAACTATTTTAGTTGAATAAAGCTGAGTTATGGCTGATTTTGGTTAGAGGTGGTAGTCCAATCAAATATATTTTATTGAAGATTTTTTTTTAAAAAAAATTGGGGTTTTGGGATGTTGAAAGTTGATTCTTTTTCTGCTTTTGGGGTATGGAGCAATTTAGTTTGACTTTTGAGCTTTAAAATCATATATGAGTTTGCTGATTATTGTTTGTGATTTAGGTTTGGGGCTCGTCTTTTTGATTCTCCAAGAAAGTTGGAATTTTCTGACTTTAGTTCAGTCTTTGGATTAGTTTTATTTGGGGGGTTTGATTGAATTTTGAAGATTATATAAGTTAGTGGACTAGTCTTACATGTAGTTGGTTTGGATCACCTTGCTATGCACCTTGCTATGGAGGATACCATTTGACTTGAGTAGTTTGTGAAAATTATGGAGTTGCTTGACAAATTTTGCATTGGTTATTAGCATCATAGCATATATTCTTACTAATTTTGTGTATCTTGACAAAGTGGATACAGTTAATATCTGGGGTCTCTATGGTTTTCTGGTAATGTATTTGTTTACTTTAGACAGTCACTATAAAGTTGGTGGTGAAAAATCTTCTTTGTTTTAGATTTTTGATTTCTCAAGGTCTTGGTTGCTGACTTGCTGTATGTATACATACTTTGCTTTGTTTTTTGGGAAGATGAAGCTCTTTTTTGATTTTTTTTCTTTACCTTTGTCTCTGAATAGATGGTGGTTCCCCTAAATACATGGGTCCTCATCTCCAATTTTAAGTTGGCTTACAATCTTCTTCGTCGACCTGATGGCACTTTCAATCGTCACTTGGCAGAGTTTCTTGATCGCAAAGTACCTGCTAATGCAAACCCAGTTGACGGGGTTTTCTCATTTGATGTCCTCATTGATCGTGGTACAAGCCTCCTTAGTCGGATTTATAGGCCAGCTACTACTGAAGAGCCTCGGCCAAATATTGTTGAACTTGAGAAGCCTGTCACGGGTGAGGTTGTCCCTGTTATAATTTTCTTTCATGGTGGAAGTTTTGCACATTCCTCGGCAAATAGTGCTATATATGACACTCTGTGTCGGCGATTGGTAGGTATTTGTAAGGCTGTTGTGGTTTCTGTGAATTATCGACGGGCACCTGAAAATAGATATCCATGTGCTTATGATGATGGGTGGACTGCTCTAAAGTGGGTTAACTCTAGAACGTGGCTTCAAAGTCAGAAAGATTCAAAGGTTCATATATATTTGGCTGGGGATAGCTCCGGTGGTAACATTGTACACCATGTTGCTGCACGAGCCGTGGAATCAGGAATTGATGTATTGGGGAATATATTGCTCAATCCAATGTTTGGCGGACAAGAAAGAACAGAATCTGAAAAGCGTTTAGATGGGAAATACTTTGTTACTCTACGAGACCGGGACTGGTACTGGAGAGCTTTTCTCCCTGAAGGTGAAAACAGGGACCATCCTGCATGTAACCCATTTGGCCCTAATGGTAGAAGTCTTGAAGGAATCAAATTTCCAAAGAGTCTTGTTGTGGTTGCTGGCTTGGATCTTGTTCAGGATTGGCAATTGGCTTATGTTGAAGGGCTCAAAAAAGCTGGCCAAGAGGTTACTCATTTATATATGGAACAGGCAACAATTGGTTTTTACTTGTTGCCTAATAACAACCACTTCCATACTGTTATGGGTGAGATAAGTAAATTTGTGAGTTTTAACTGTTAATAGAATTAACTTTACCTACAGGCAGCCATAAATGACTGGAGCTGGACGTTCACCTTATGCTAATTAAGAAGTTTGCAGTTTATGATTGTGTAGTATTACTAATTACTGTTGGTGTTATTGGGCTCTGCGTTTTCCTGATTTATCGACTACCGAGCTTGATTATATGATGAAGAAGAGGTATTTCAGCATGTAGCTGGATCAGGATGTGTTCTGGCCTGCATTCAATCGCCTGGACTTGGGTGTTATGGTTTGATGAAGCTGTTATGGCGGTTCGAGCCTTTTGACTATGTTTAGCCGACCACTAAATTTAAGAGCTACGGATTCTGGCTTCTTGCCACAAAGGAGAAGAAGACAGGAATATATGGATAACATTTGGTACCTGATCAAGGGATCGGTGCCTGGCTGATATTATATAAGCTAATTTTAGAACATGAATTAGAAAGGTTCAATGGTGGTGTGACCTTGTATGTATACATATGTATTAGTATATATATAAAGATGTTTGCTTAAATCTGTCTTCTCCATTGTCTTTCAGTTTTTCTTCCTCAAGTTTAAATTTTAGTTTTTTGTTTTCTCTTCTTGTTTTCACGCTCTACTGGGCAAGTGTAAATACAAACTATATTGTTCTATAATATTGTCATATACACTCAAAGGCAGAGTCCTGAACTCTTGATCACTGTAATAGTTCAAAGTTACTGGTTTCCTGGAAACTTCTGATAGCAAGATTCTTCCTCTTGAATTTGTAGTTTTTAACCAAAAAGAACAAGAATAAACTCCTAACCTCATCTTTCAAGTTGAAAAGGCTAGAGCTGTTAAAAAGAAGGGAGCAGTGCAGATTCCATGACACTGAATTTATGTTTGCTTGTTGTGGTGAAGGATCAGGCTGTGTTGATGAGCTATACAAGCTTCTTGTTCATGGGATGTTTATGTTCTACTCAGGATTGCACAAACAATAACTTCACAGCTTTTTGGCTTATCCATATGTTTAATCTTGGAAAAAGGTGGATGAACCTTTTGCTGAATGATTGATGATAGATTAGCATGAACATCTAAAAAACAATATCTGCCAAATTTCACTCCCCAGAAGATAATTGTTTAGACTACTGAACGAGGAATCAAAACGTGCGGCCATTTCATCCATTAATTCCAGCCAGGACAAAAGGGTATCCAGACACTTTGATAAATGATTGGAAGCAAATTCTACCAGTCTATTTTTTGCCCCATAGCTTGATTGATTTGATGCATTCTTGTCATTTCTTGAATGCTTGTAAGGGAAGAGTAATTTGGCGCTTGAAGCTCCATAAAATACAGAAATTGGCTTGTTTTGAAAGGGGAAAACCTACATAATGGTGGTTGCAATTTGGATGCATTAAAGGGGACCACTAGAGAAACACACACCATCCTTTTTGTAAGCTGTTAGGATTTGCTTTCATAGTGCTAAAGGAATATTAGCATAATGTTAAAGAACAGCTAAGCTTTTGATAAAGGCATCAAACCTTGTCTAATTGACTTTTGTGGACCAACTAAAATATGGGGTTAGCCAAAAATCACGTTGCGTTTGTTAAATTTTTAACTCTAATAATTAGAGTTTAAATTCTGATAAATATATAAATATATATATATATATATATATATAAAGATTAGCATGCATAAATTACTCAACTCGAAGAAAAAAAAATAAATTTGGTCTCATTTTGTCCACAATTTGTCGTCTTCTGTATTTCTGCTTAATCTATTCTCCTCTGTTGTTTCATTTTCAACAATTTCAAACGATAATACAAGGAACTGTTTTGTTTCTAATCATGTGGTCTGACTAGGATTGCATCTGCAGCATGTGAAGTTCCCAGCTGATAAATTTCCAACTTGATCATTAATGGTTTAAGAGTTAAGGCTCTGGAACCATCCATTCAGTTGAAACAATTTAAAACTCACCCAACATTCAAAAGTTTTTTCACCTCTTTACCTTTCTAAAGGCAATCTCTTTTTCCAACCAGGATGATACCATGTACCAGGACATAAAAATGTCAAATCTTTAGGATAATGAATGATCCCCCATCCCATTCCCAAATCTCTTGCATTTTCACTGTTTATGTTCAGAGATTTAGGGCATTATGGCCTTGAATCTGGAAAAAGGAAAGGATTGACTACTGGATGACCAGTCAAATTACTACAAAATTATGCCTTTATGGTGGCCATGGAAGAAAGTGAATGAAATACTAACAACTGTGTCTTGAGTGCCACAAACAAGAATCAGATGACATTGTGACAATAGTATTGGCAGGGTAGCTGTATTTTCTCTCCTTATCAAAGGTATAGATGGCATCTTTTGAGATTGCTGCAAAAGGGTGTTGGATCAAATCTGATGCATACACCAGTTTTTGTGTGATATCAATGTCACCACCAAAACTTACCTACCATTTGCTAATAGCCAGCTCATTTCGAAGTTGTCATTGCCGACCGATCCATTTGAAGCAACAATGAAATTAATTTCAACGAGATTAAGATAAAAATAAAATTAATTATTATAATAATAAAATTAAAATTAATGATAGAATAAATATTTAGATGTAAAAATAATAGCAATGATGAGATGAATTATAATAAAAAAATTATTAAGTACATTAAATTAAAAATTATATATAATAAAAATTTGAATTATATAATATTTATAAAATTAATAAATTATTAAAAATTAATAAATTATTTTTATAATAAATAATAATTGAGTTAATAAATAGTTAAATTTTATTTATTTATTTATTATTTTATAAATTTTAAATAAAAAATAAAATTACATAATTAAAAAATAAAAAATGTTAATTGTGAGACATTTTTATCTCTACAATTTAACTTGAAGGATAAAAAAAACAGAAAATTAAAAAAAAAAAAAAAAACCAGTTGCTCGCTTGAGCAAAATCCTCCAACAGATCACCGTTGCAAATCCAAACGCATTGATTTTACATTTGGATCTCATTTCTCCAGTTGACAGACGCAAGCTTTCATGCTAAACGTACTTCCGCCGGAGATACGTTAGCATCCAAATGCAGCCCTAAGTTATGATAATTTGAGAATTTATGGTCTATAATTATACACCATACTGTACTTGTTTTGCATGGTTGTACTCAGTCCTGTTTATCCGCGTCATTTTGATAGAAGAGAAGAATTGGTAGCCTTCGCAACGAATTACGAAAAATAAATAGTTCGTAGTTCAGTAAGAAATAAGGTATTTTAGATAATGTTCAAAACTTAAGGATGTCAATGAGTTATTTTTTATCTTCATCATTATTTTTAAATTTTTATATTATACATATTTTCGTATTCATATTTAAGAATATTTTAAATTTATTCTTATTTTCATCTTCATAAATATTTAAAGAGTATAAATAGTTCTCTTACTCATAACTTAAAAAAAATTAAAATCTAAATTTTTTAAAATTTTTTTTTATTTTTATCTTGTATATTTAGATAATTTTTTATTAATATATATTAATATATATTTTTTCAATAAAAATATATTAATTTTAATTAATCTAAAATAATAATTGATATTATTTAATAAAAAAGCTATATACTAAATATATATATAAAGTACTAATATGAAACAAGAATTATATTATCCATTCTCATTTTCATATCCAATAAAAATTTAAAATTATATATATTTTCATAATATAATATCTATTTCTATTTCCGTTAAGATGAAAAATCAATTATGTATTAAATATGAATAAAATTGACATCCTACTCACATGAGCTTAAACGTCCTTTTATTATATACATCACACGTATGATTTGATTTTTATAAAGTATACCTTTTGTTATAATAAATTTTTTTTTGTAATTTTTGTTATAATAGCTTTTCTTTATGTGAATCAATGGTTTATTATCAAATTCGAGGTTTCTGATACAAAAAAATTATCAGGTTGCAATTAGAGAGCATATGACTCGTGATTATTAACAATGATAGAATAAGAGATTTCATCAATTATTAGATTGCAAGAAGAAGAATAGCCGAGAAAAATAAATTTATAAACTCACTTTATATAATATTTTAAAAAGGGGATATGAAAGGGAAATCAAAGCTACAATTGTTTTTCTAAAACTTTCATAAAGCGATTGGTTTGCAAAATCTTAAAGAAGCTCATGTCAATATCCCACCTAATCAACTTAAAAAGCCCAAACTTTTTCCCCTAATATTTATCATAGGAAGGGCATTTTATGAATATGATCTTCTTTAGTAAGTAGTTAAACAATATAATCATCAGAAAAGATGCATACCATTTTTTTAACATATAAAATTTGGTCATCATATTTCATCCAATAAGCATTGATCTTCAAAGGATAATGCAGTGCTAAAATGACATGCATTGATGTTTGTACGGATCACTTCGAGGGGATTTGGTCTTTATCCAGCATATATGTTGAATATGTAAAGCAGACATACAGATGCATGTTCATGAACCTTGAAAGATTGGAATGAGTAGAAATGGAGTGAAAGATTGTTGTCTACTATCTGAATCAAATAGCTGAAACATCATGTTTAATATTTGAGCACAATAAAAGACAGTGATCTACTATGAACATCAGAAACAATAATGTAGCATATGGACCCAACTGAATGGATGTGTAGAATCAGGTACAATGAACTCACCAAAGGTTCAACTCCCAAAATCTGTCTAATTACCATGGAAGTGAAGCATAAATGTTTTTAAGTAATTGAATGAAGTTTTTGCTTACATATGTTCCAGTGACACATGTATATGTACATGTATTTGTCTCTATGGAAATAGTCATCAGGAAGTATAACTAGGCAACAGATGCATAGAATAGAACTTTAAACAAGTACCATATCCAAATCAAGCAAGAACAAAGAGTCCTTGGAAAGCATGCATTTTTTCATGTTCTAACTTTCTACAAACAAAGAGTATAAGCAATAAAGTAACATATGAGCAGAGGGCAGACCGATATAACCAAAAATTATGAAGCATTAACATATAGGAATTATGCAAATAAAGCAGTTAAAAAAAAATCCCTTTGAGGTTGTGATTCTTGACTTATCCAAATAGCATTATTTATCACTGAGCTGAAGTTCAAAAGTAGCAACATAGCATGTTGTCACAGTTTTTTCTCAGTTAATCCTAGAAGTAAGAAAACCTTGTGCTACAAACAAAACTACCAATAAACCAAACCATTTAACGTCCTCTTGCAACATATGCAACAGTTACAGCAGCCAAAAGAGTTGTTGCTGAGGAGACCCAAGTCCAGAAACTCTTTTTCTTTTGTGCTTCCACCATGGATTTCTCCATAAACTCAACTTTCTGCTTCAAATCTTGTTCCACTGTCTCTTTATTCTTAAATGCTTGTTTGATTGCCTCTAATTCTGCCGCATATGGTTCAACTTCATCTTCAATCTTCTGTTCAGCAATAATTGCTTCTTCCTTCTCCTTTCGATCATTTTCATCTTTAGATCGACATAACAGCAAAGCAGTGTTCTTCAACAGAGTCAATGCTCGCTCGTAATTAATGCTGGTTGATTCCATTTTAGCCCTCAAAAAATTAAAACTTCGTTTTGCCTCCAAAAGGTCCTCCTGCAACCTATCTTTATCTTCAGTCATTGATCCAAAGTGACTCTCCATCTCCTTCTTTTCCTTGGTTAGGTTCTGCCACTCAGTTCTCTTTTGTGCCAGCTCTTCTGCAGTTTTCTCAAGCACTTTCTCCACTTCTGAAACTTTCAATCTCAAGTTAACACCATTCTGCTTCTCCTCATCCAATCCTTTCAAAGCATTGTCCCTCTCAAGTGTTACTTGCTCAAATGAATCTCTAAAACGGCTAACTTCAGAAACCAATTCTTTATTCTTTTTTTCGTGATCCCAGCATGCCTCTTGCAGCCTGTTCACAACATTCCTCAGCTCACTCACTTCTTTCAACAACTCGACATTTTCATTCTCAAGACCAACCTTGACCCTCTCAATCTCATTTCTGTCTCCAAGCAAGTCCTCAATCTTATTTTGCATATCCTTTATTTCCTTCTCATTCATTTCCAACACTCTTCTAGCTGCATCACTTTCCTCCAATAACTTCTCAATTCTTCTCTGCCTATCCTCTGACTCCACCGTTGTCACCTCCAATGATCTAGAGACAAAATCCTTTTCCTCCATTAACCTCTCAATACTCCTTTCTTTTGCTCTCTTCTCCTCCACCAATGCACCGATCTCTATTGCCCGTTCAGCCTCTCTATCCATAGCTTCACCACAATTCTTTTCCAACTCCAAAACTTTAAACCGCAAAATCCCCTCTTCCTTCCTCAAACTCGATATAACCTCACCCATTTCCCACATTTCCTTTTCCATCTCATCAATCTTCATTTTTTGCTCATTTTTCTCCATCTCAATCTCTTTCTTCTCCCTCACAACATTTTCAATCCTTTTTCTCAAAAGCTCAACTTCTTTTTCCATATCCTTAATGCTTTTTTCCAACAAATCTTTCTCCTTCAGCACCGAACTCTTCACCTTCTCTAACTCCTCTTTCTCCCCAACCAACTTATCATATTCCATTCTCAGTTTTCCAACCTCTTCCACAAATTTCCTCTCATTTTTCTCCATTTCCATCAGTTTCTCTTTCATCAAACTACCCTCATTAACCTGCAACTCAAAGTCATTCCTTGCCAAATCTCTCTCTGTACAAGCCAAACTCAATCTTTCTCTCTCATTTTCAAGACTACACATTAGTCCATTTACCTTACTTTTCAACGCCCCAATCTCCCCTTCCCTCTCAAGACCCATTTCCTTCATTTGGGTTTCCATATAAACCGAAAGCAACCCATTTTGCAACTCCAAGCTCACATTTTTCTCACTCTTCTCACCCTCAAGTTCCTTCCTTTCACTCAACTCAGCCTCAAGGGCTTCTTTGGCTTGAACCAATGATTCAATCTGTTGTCTCCTTTCAAAGGCCTCCTTGACAAGTAAAGAGTTAAGAGACTTAAGATTTTGGAGCTTCTCATTAGGATCTTCCATGGAAGAATGGCGGCTCATAGGGTTGGAAGATTTTGCAAAGGTTGATTCTTTGACAGAGTCATGGGTTTCCTGAGATGGGTTTTGTTGTTTGCGGTCTTTGGATTGGTGGGACAATTTCTTTTTGGCCATTTTTGGGAGTATTGGAAATGGGATGTGGATTTTGAAGGCTAGGGTTTTGCTAGGGTTTTTATGGTGGAGATATGAGATATGGAGATAGCCTGATAAACAAAGATGAGAGGAAAGGAGGGCTTTTGAAGGGAATAAGGCTACCTTTGAGGATTCAAATTTTGGGGCCCAAAGTTCAAAGTTTATTGGGAATTTGGAAAATCATTAAAAAAAAAATTAGGATTTTGGATTTGGCTGTGGGGTTTGGTGCTGCTCTTTATAGCATCCACAATCACACAATATTGAGTTAATGTGGTTGCTCTCTATTGGAAAATTTTAGATTCATTCATTTGATCAAAAAACAATAAAAATTCATTATGTTTGTCTGTGTATTTTTTAATGGTAAAATTCATTATCATTAAAATTCACCGTTATTCATAAAAAATTCATCACTAAATTTAATCTATTTTCTAATAATTAGAAGTCAATATAAAATTACCATCAAGAATAAATAATCTTATTGAATCAATCTTTTGAGTATTTAATTTAAACAAAGTCAATTTTTTTCCTTAATTAATAGACAAATTTTTATTTTTTGAATGGAAGTTTATTTTGGATATCAAATCTTTGAGCAGAGATGCATGTATTCCCATTAAAACTAAATTCTGGCATATGAATGAAATTGTTAAATCAAATTGATCAAAAAATTTTCTTTTCTATTTTTATTTTCTTTTGAGTAGAGATGCATGTATTACAATTAAGCTAAATTTTGTCAAATTGATTAAAGCATTTCAATGTCTATGTTTTGGCCAACTATTTGTAACCATATAACATAATCATCAATATAAGAAAAATATGTTATAATTTATCATAGGATCAAAATTATTTTGAAACTTTTTTTTTTATTGGATGTACAAATATAATATTATAATATGGGAAATTAATTATCATATATATATATATATATATATGGTAGCTATATCTGCAAATAAAGCAACATTCAACGTGCAAAATAACAGAAAAGGAAATATACATGCCGGCTTGGAAACACAAAAACTTTCTATGTTATTAAATACTTATACCATATTTAGATTTATGTAGGGTGTTACTAAAATGGGTAGGGAATGGAAGGATACAGCATTTCTCATTTTTATTTTTGGCTTTTAATATCATATTCATGCATGTATTTATATTCTATGAATATTTTAAATTAATTTTTATTTTTATCCTCTAAAATATTTACTCATAACTCTTTAACAGAAATAAAAAATAAAATTTATTTTTTGAGTTTTTTATCTTTTATTTATATATTTTGATATTTTTTATAAATATATATTAATATATTAATTTTAATTAATTTAAAATAATAATTTATATTATTTAATAAAAAATTTATTTACTAATTCGAATACAAATATATATGTAAGTACATATACAAGACATATATTATATTATTCATTCGTGTACTTATATCTAATAAAAATTTAAAATCATACTTATTTTTATTTCATTATCCATAATGTAATATCCATCTTCATCTATTCGGGGTAAAAATTTAAATTTTTCATTAAATATGAATAAGATTAATATTCTATTAGTGATTCGTTTATTTATATCATATAAAATATTAAAATTTATATATTTGTATTGTATTTTATATAAAAATTACGTGTTATAATTCGTGTTAATTCGAAAATATAAAATATATATTTTTTATTTTATTAAATCTATATTATATTATTATTAAAATTTTAAATAGTATAATTTTTATAATATTTTATATTATATTAATATTATGTTACTATTTCATATTTTAAATTGAGCACTCATTTCTTCGTGAAACATTCATGCCTTGCCATATATTTCTCCCTTATATAAACAAAACCCCAAAACTTTTCTTTTTTTTCTTTATCTTTTATGCCCCTTTCCCACTAACTATACTATATGCAAACTATGTTTGCCTTAGTATGGAATAATGAAGTTAGAAAATTGTTCTGTCAAAGTCAAAGGTTCTTCTTCTCTTCTTCTTTATTTATATATATTATGTTCATTTCTAACTAGTTCATGTTGGAGCATCCATGGGAATGAGACATATTTGCTTTTATGTTTGTTTTTTTTATTGTTTTATGAAAGATACATGCTATGATCAATTTTGTTTTTCAAAGTTTTTGCAGGTGAGGATGTTAATTGAAGATATAATTGATTTTGTTTTGCTTTGTTTGATTATATTGAGTGATATATTAGAGTAATGAGAGTGATATGGGTAGCAGCCATGGTTGGAAGCCTGGGAGCTTTGGTTTTCTTGGTGGATCCTGATGATGCTCAGCCTCATCGGATTCTGGTCGATACAGATGCTGATACCGACGATGTTTTTGCTCTCTTTTATCTCTTGAAGCAAGACTCTACACGATTCGATTTGCAGGTTTCTCTCTCTCTTAATATATCAACATCAATCTGCAGTTTATGTCTATAGTTACCATTGTTTATCTAGAACAGGTCCCTCTCTCTTGTGAATATCAACATCAATCAAACTTAAAGCAATTCTCTATATATAAAGATGTAAAACAAAAAAATTTCTACAAGTAATTGCATGCTTATCTAGCTCTAATAATCTATTATCATATGCTTTCATTTTCATCAACAATTCTTTTTATTATAATTATGTAAGTGTAAATTCCATAAAATATTTTAATGGATCTTAGGTAATTATAAATTCTGATGATTTAATGCATCGTTAGTATATAGATTTTATATTGTATCAATAAATCAAATAATATTATCTTATTAATGAATGGTTATCAACTTTTAAAATAAATATATAAAAATTTACTCATAAAATAATAATATTTGATTCACTTCGTTAATGAGATGATATCATTTAATTCACTAATAATATATAAAATTTATACATTTATGCATAGCATGGAAGATCATTGGCATATTAAAATATTTATCGCAGGCAATTACTATAAATGCAAATGGATGGAGTGAAGCAGGGCATGCCATCAATCATGTTTACGATATTCTATTCATGATGGGTCGCGATGATATTCCCGTGGGAGTAGGAGGTGAAGGTGGCATTTTGCCCAATGGAACCATTCTCCCAAATGTTGGTGGATTTCAACCCATAATTGACCAGGTTCATCTCTTTATTTTATAATAATTTTGACATATACAACTACCAATAAAACTGTGCCATGAGTGTATGCAATAAGAGCACGTAGTTTTGTCAGGTTTAAGATCAGTAATTCAAAAGAATTGGAGGGGGATTTGATGACAAAAATGAAGAAAAGTAAAAGCAAACCATGACAACTTTTGTGGTGGCAGGGAATGTCAACAGCTGGGGAATGTAGATATAGACAAGCAATTCCTGTGGCACAAAGAGGTCGCCTTGATGTCAATTCTAACTATGGCCTTAGAAAAGCCTTTCTTCCACAGGTATCCCCATTTCAATTACATAATCATTACCTTGCTTGCAACATCCTGATCCATGATCGAAAATATTCGCATAATTTGTAACAACTCGGGTCCAAACATCATTAATTCAGCAATTAAATTTTTTTTTAGTATAAAGCACATGGTTCTCATAAGTTTAAGTTTCATTTGAAAGCGTGGTGGGAAGGGATTTCTATCACGCTAAACCCATATTGGCACTCTAGTATGGTGCAACTGTCACGTCAAACACTTAAATTGAGTAGGCAGGATGTATTAATCTCACATGAATAAGAAAGAAAAGATCGTTAGACATGTAAGTGTTGACGCCCAATAAACCGGTTTTGTGAGAGAGGATAATCACTGCATGACACAACCCCTTCCTAGAGCACTTCCAAGTTCCAAATGAAGCCTTAAACTAAGTTGCTAGTAGTAATTAACTTAAAATCTTAAACCCTTATCACAATTCTTTTCACGTTATGCTTCTAGTTTTAGTTCATCATATATGATTAAATCACTTCCAAAGTCTATATCTGAAAGTCGCTCAAACTAGCTTCAAAATTTGTTGTACCTGAAACAAAGCTAAAATTGGTCTGGAGAGAAGTTCAAATTTTAGTGTCAAATGGTGCTTGAGGTGGAATTCATTAAGCTTCCTTCTCAATGTATTTCAAGTCCTTGTGACAGTTTTCCCTTGCATGACATAGGGTAGCAGGAGGTACACTCCTCTTCAGCAACCTACAGCACAGCAAGTAATGATAGATGCAATATCTTCAGGTCCTATAACTGTGTTTCTCATGGGAGCACATACAAACTTTGCCATCTTTCTTATGAGCAATCCTCACTTGAAAAAAAATGTTAAACACGTTTATGCCATGGGAGGTTCTGTTAGACCAAACTGTCCGAAGATCAACAGCTCTGACAGTTCAGGGGAATGTTCTGATATTGGTAATCTGTATCCACAAGATAGCAATCCATATGCCGAGTTCAATATATTTTCAGATCCTTTTGCAGCCTACAAGGTATTGTTTTGTTATTTTTGTTTGATATTCATGAACTCGATGCTTTATTTGGTATTTGAATCTTTTCTTTTGAGCAGGTGTTGCATTTTGGTATTCCAGTTACACTCATTCCTCTAGATGCAACAAATACTATTCCTTTAAGTAAGAGTTTCTTCATGGAGTTTGAAAGGAGACAGAATACATATGAGGCAAAGTACAGTTTCCAGGCTCTAAAAATTATTCGCGATACGTGGTTAAGTGATGCATTTCATGAGGTAATTTCCCTTGAAATCCTTGTGGTTCATGCTTCTCTTTTGTACGATATATTCATCTTAGACGTCCAATGAAGTGACTGATGAAACGTTGGCAGCAATATTGTATGTGGGACTCTTTTCTGGTTGGTGTAGCATTGTCTATAATCCGAAACTCTCACAATCTTTATGGAGAAAATGAGTTTGCTGAGATGCAATATATGAACATCACGGTTGTCACCTCAAATGAACCTTATGGAGCATTAGATGGCTCAAATCCACTCATTACAGGGTACTCAACCCCAAGGTTTAATGTACAGAAGAATGGGGTTCATAGTGGCCATGTTCAAATGGGAATGCAAGATCCCTTTTGCCTTCAGAAAGGAAAAGGGAAATGTCAGGTATTATAAAAACTTAGGTGTTAATGTTTTTTTAATTAGCACATTGAACTAATACTTAATTCATCAGAAATGGCGTATGCATATAAGGTTTTTTTATGTATTTTTCCCAATAAAATGTGCTTTCAGCTTTCTTTTGCGTCCTAAAGGTGACTGATAGGTTCTGTCACTTAAAGAAATTTGAAGCTGGTTCATATAGTAACTATAGCAGTGAAGTTCTTTCATCATATTTCTTGTAAAAAGACACAGCTTCTTTCAACTATAAGATTCATTGTCTTAGAGAATCACACAATGCTAACAGGATGGTTACACAAAAGAAGGTACAGGAGAGGATGCAGTACGTGTTCTCGTTGCAACGAAAGCTAAACCCAATCATGATAATAGAAGCATACTTGGGAGAGAATTTTATAAAAGCTTTCTCCATGTAAGCTCCTGTAAATACTTTGTCAATAAGACCTTTTTTCTGTTGTTTAATTGATGCTTAATGACACAGTCAACTAACCAGGAAATGCTGAAGGATATCATGTTCTCTAGGATTAAGATTTCTTCTAGACATAAAAGTTGAGGTGATGGTAATACAAATGAATGTGGTCACAAAACTGTTCATTCCTTCTCTTAATTGTAGGTTATAAACAGCCCTGAGAGAACTGGGAGGTTTGATATCAGAACACAGTATCCTTTCCACAGGGAGTTTCTTTATAAACCAGATTTTGGAAAGAAGATAAGGGGAAAACCAGTTGTTTTCGACATGGATATGAGTGCCGGGGACTTTCTAGCTCTTCTATATCTCCTCAAATTACCTGTGGAATTAATCAACCTCAAGGTAGTTTATGATGGATTGGATTTGCTAGGTCTAACCCCAACCTAGACTGCTGATCTCTTGAAGTTAAGCATCTGCATCTGTAAATTGAACAAATATGGCAATATTCTGCAAGTTACATTTAAGCATTACTAGTGCTCAGACTTTACATGAAACAGGACACTTAACTATTCCAATTTTTTGGATTCCCTGAAGTTCCTCATGCTTGTATTTTTATGTTCAACCAGGGAATATTAATCAGCTCAACAGGCTGGGCAACTCCTGCAACGATTGATGTTGTATACGATATATTACATATGATGGCCCGAGATGACATTCCAGTTGGTCTTGGTGAAGCATTTGCAGTTGGGCAAGCCAATCCATCTTTTGCTGCTATTGGAGACTGCAAGTATTCCAAAGCTATCCCTCATGGTAGTGGTGGATACTTGGACTCTGACACACTGTATGGACTTGCTCGGGACTTACCTCGAAGTCCAAGAAGGTTACATTCCCAGCCTTCAGATTTTCATTCTTATATGTCCAATTTGTTGAATTTTCAAATATGAAAAATCACATTTTATATCCTTTGACCCCTTATTTGCCAGTAAAACTGATAAAATTCAGATACATAAACGATGCAAAACATGCATGAGCAGAAACAAGTTGAATATATCTGGCCTTATTATCACTTTTCCAGATATACGACAGAAAACTCTGTCAAGTTTGGAGATCCTAGAGATACTGATAATCCTGGACTTAGGCAACCATCAGCACAAGAAGTTTGGAAGTCTATAGTGGAGTCTTTGGATCCAGGATCAAAGATCACTATTTTGACTAATGGACCTTTGACAAATTTAGCACAGATCATTCTATCAGAGAATACTAGCTCACTGATTCAGGTAAATAATATGATAACAGTCCTGCCGTAAATCATAGGTACTGTCATATGAGGATTTCTGGTATTAACTTCACTGTTCAAAAGCATTGCCCCCATGCCAGAAATATCAGTTTCCTTGGAAAAAACTGCCCTGAAACCTGGATCAGTTAATGACATTGTCTACTTATTTTTTCTGATGCAGGGTGTATACATTGTTGGAGGACACACAGGCTATGTCTATGACAATAGCGAAGGAAATGTTTTCACTGTTCCCTCAAATAAATATGCAGAATTTAACATGTTTCTTGATCCTTTAGCTGCAAAGGAAGTTTTTACTTCATCTGTGGACATCAGACTTGTTCCACTGCAGATGCAAAGAAGAGTTAGTTCCTTCAGCACAATTCTTAACAGGATGAATGCCACTACTCAGACTCCTGAAGTTGTGTTTGCCCAACATCTACTTTCCAGACTTTGGCGATTACAACAGGAACATTATAGATATCATCACATGGTAAATTTAAAAACCTTATAGTGTATATCTGATTATGTTTTAGTTCATTTGGTTAATATGAATCTTTTGAACTGTGGGGTTTTATAAGTTCCAGATGCGATACATTCTTCCAAAGAGAGGATAAAATAAATGATGGAAAAATTTTCAGCAGATGATATGCACACAAATATACTAAAGATTTTTAAGCTAAAGGAGAATTTTAAAAATGTTATACTTTAATACATGGCTGAATTTTACATCACTGGTTTTAAAGACAATAGAAATAGCAAAGTTCACAGCTGGAATAACAGTACATGTCACAAAAGAAAGGATTTACCAAAGAGGTGACCTCTTAAAAAGTTTGAAATGCAGTAGAAATTTGTTCTGCTGCTCACAAACATGTTTATAGTGGATGATTAAACTTTGCCTTAGATATCAGAACTAAATCAACTACATCTCCTGAGTTAACTTAAATCATGCTGAGGACTAGCATAGATTTGGAGTCTAGAATGCTTTCAATGCAACTCCATTCGCAAATATGGCTGCCAAAGAACTTAGATTGGATTCAAATAATTTTGTCTCTTTGCAGGATATATTTTTGGGAGAGATCCTTGGTGCAGCAATCTTGGCTGGAAATCCACATTTGAACCAGACATTTACATTGAAGCCTCTTAAGGTCTTGGCAGATGGAGACATAACAAAGATAGGTGAGATAGTTATTGATGAAGAGAAAGGGAAACAGGTGACTATTTTGGAAAATTTTAATCCAGAGACATACTATGATCACTTTGTAAGGGTCTTAGGTGATCACAGACAGTCTGCCGTGCTAGGAAGCTTTCATGAGCAGGAAAGAATGTGGAATTCGCCACCAGAAAAGATGAACTTTGTTCATAATCAGCAGGTGTAAATGTTTGTTATAACTTAAGCCATTCTTTTAAACGGTTTTGACATCTTTTGGTCTTTAATTCAAATGAAAATATTTAAGAGGTTTCTACATAGTGTGTATGAGCTTAGCAACAGATGAAGTAAAGAGAAAGTTGCAAGAAGTTTGTCTTTCTTTGCTGTTGTTTATTACTTTTTCCTGTAGTTGAGCTACTAGCTCCAGCAATTCATCGTCGTGTCAGATCCTGCAGTTCAATGAAATTTACATACAAATTACACGAAAGGAAAGTTAAAATGGAAATGAGATAGAATCCTGAGAGAGCTTCAGATTATCCAGCATAAATATTTAAAATGTGATTTTCCGACCTACACACATAATTACATGTATATATTAAACAAACTAAAGATACATCTTCCATTATAAGCATAAATGGAAATAGCATGCATACCCTTTTTCAATAATGAGATTATCAGATTCTTAGTTTGCATTTAATGATTTGTTAATTATTCAGAATCCATAGTGTTTATTGTCTCTATATATTGGGACAATCAAGAGTAAGCTCATGGAGGACTTTGAAGATGCGCTTTTGTTGGATGCTGCCTCAAAAAGCCTTCAGATATGCTTAAAATACAAATATCAGTGACCATAGAACAATATTAAGCAATGATTCTCTGACCAAACATGGCTCAGATTCTTATAAAGGGTACTCAATTGAGTTGGTCAGTCTTCTATACTTTTATTTACCCATTATTATTAAGCAAAACAAACTTCAAGTCTTGATTAATAGTGCTGCATATACAGGACCATCTTTCCCATCAAGTAACAGATATTACCAGGACAGAGTTCACATTTCAGCTCTTTGCACTTAGCATCATGCTCTCTTATGATGATTTAGACATGTACCAACCTTTAGTCGCATAAGAAATGTTCACGCTCACTGGTTCTTTAACATAAATGCACTGAATCATGTCTTTCAAATGGTCCGAGTCGTTGTAAATTATGACTATGACACCATGGCAGTTCATGAACTCTGCATATAAGCACTGCACATGGATTCCTCTGTCTTTTATAATACTTAAAATATTAGCATGATACAAACTAAAGTGGAATCTCCCAGCTGGAAGTTTTCTTTTTCAATTTGGCCATCCCCATGGCTTTTACATTTAATTGGTTCTTGAACAATTCTGCAAAGTTTGGTGGATCCTATCAACCAGCTAACCAGTTTATGTGGTGGATTTTTACCTGAAAGTTTGAATCAACATCTTATTGGTACAGTGATATGTTTTATATGGAATTGAAATCACGAAAAAGATTGAAGTAGATGGTGGGTGACTTGGCTGGGTGATGATGATATTGATTTTTATAAAATATGGAAACATGAAAGAAAATTATTTGATATTCTGTCATTACAGCATGTATTTTGGCTTTGCTTGCAGGATTACCAATTTACCAGCAATAAGCAAACTAGGTGGACATCCCACTCATGTGAAAATAGTTGACCTTATAAAATAATTATGTTCAATGAATGTAATACAGATCAGTACAAAATGGTGATTATAGAATACATTTTCTGACTTTAAAGGAGAAATCAACCCAACAACGTGGGGTTTCAACTTCATTTTCAATGCCTAAAATGCATCGGTTCCAACAATAGTATAATCATTAAAGTACGTTAATGAGATACCCTGTCTGTCACACTGAATGGTCGGTGATAATATTTATTGGGCCACTGAATTTTTTTGACCTTTGAAGATCTCCATCTACATGCATGGTAGTTGAGCTTATTGACCTAATTGTTGCATGTGTATCCATTTAGCCTGTCAAGATAACTGTTGCACCAGTAGACTGCTTCTTTTACCTACTATGGATTGTTGTTCTGGATGTTTAGATAAATAATCTCCTATACCAAACTGCTGGATGAAATAATAATGACTCACCCTCTCCGATGTGCCACACTACCATCTCTAGCAGTCTTGTTTTGCTAAAATGACCGATCCAATTGACATGTTCTGAACCATGCTTTAAAAGGTCAGAGAGAAATGAGCTGAGCGGTTACTGTTGGATTAGGTCGGAATTGAAACAGGAAGAACTCGTTCTTGTTTCTATGAGTTGAGACAATGTTCTGTCATTTTGGTGCTCCAGCTTATCTTACATGCTTGCGCTTCGGCCGGAGACATGCCAACATACAACACAAGAAACTGATAGTCTTGGGAGCTAAGTCAAGATTTGGCGAGGTCTGGTCTCAGTTGAAGATGTAATTCATTTGAATGGATAATGACTGTCCAATAGTTTGGCAAATCGCCGTTTTCAGGTATAGGAATTGTTTTGTCTCATTAGACCTCAACAGCAACTCTGGTATCTTTAATTTATGTATATCCGATTTCAAAAGTCGAAGTTTGTTCCAAAGGATGGAGGGTTAGTCCTGATAAGATTTGTTTCATTTGTCCATATGTTGTTCCTAAATTGATTTGATAACTATTGGTGCAAGAATTGAATGATCAATAAACATTCAGCAATGGAGAGGAAAGATCAGATGGAAGGGTTTATTCACATTCTTTGTCATTGCTCATACACTGGATATGATACAAGCAACAAAGACAAGAAAAAACTTTTCTACATAGCCAAAATCCCATTTTGCTCCCTTGTTTTTCTCTGCAGATGATTATAGGTCTCTTTGAAGCAACTATTACATAGGAATTGAGCCTCCAGCAGTCAAGATCTGTTGTTCAAGCTGCAGTCAAACAAATGGAAAATCAATTCTAGTAGTAAACAAAGGAATCTGGATGAAACCTGTTCGGAAAAAGAATCTCTTCTGAAGAAGTAAAAATTTCTCAAACATTACCTGGAACATAGATTCAAGCTTGGTTTTCACCAGGGAATACTCATGCTTCACTTGTTGCAGACATTCAAGACACCTACACAAGACATCAAAGTTTGAAACTTCTTAAAAATATATCAACACTAAATTAAATCAACAGCAATGATCAGAGGCATAACATAAACTCACCCTTCAACATTCTGCTCCTCGCAGTAGTTGCGGAAGGCTATGCAGACTTGCTGAACTCTCTGAGCACCAATGCTGTTAATTTAAGAACATTTTGCCCATGAAAAAACTATTATAATAGAAATATGAAGAACAATTTGTTGTAAGACCAAAGATAGAAGAAAGTTATGCTTCTTTCATGTGGGACGAATAGTAGAACCCCTATCCAACAACAGGTGAAAATTGGTGACCATAAAAAACAAATGTTACAGTTGTGCATCAATATAAACTGTCAAAGGAAATTTGTAATTTGAAAATGGTTTTTGCAGTGACAGTACTTTCTCATTAACTTATTCTGTCGATGGCATTTGAATGGATTTTAGCTGATTAAAAACATAAATACTAATAAGATTCCATCAGGAAAATTAATTTTTCTCTCATAGAGAAATAGCAAAAATGATGGTGGCACATGTGCTTCAAGCAGTGAAAAATATGTTGGTCTAAAATTGGCTTTAACCATTGAAAAAATTATTCACTACAAAAATGCAGATGGCGTTTCTCATGCTGGAAACAAGGGGTGGCAAAACAAGATTTACCCAAATTGGAAAGAAGTTTCATCTGAGGGTAAAATTAGAAAGTGAGGTTAAAAAAAATAGAGAAAACAAGAAAAATACCTGGAGCTGCTTCCTTTGAGCTGGTGAACATGAGCATCCACCCTTCTGAAATCTACACTCTGCTGCTCTCTACATAAGATCAGAAACCATAACCAAACCACATTCAGACATGAAGAAATGTCAAAGAGTAAAGCATAGCAGAAAATACAGCCCTGAATGGTTCAGTTTAAGAAAGTAAAATCCTCACAGAGCTGTAGTCAGTTCATTGAGATGTCTTTCAGAATCTTCAAAGAAAAGAGACACCACTTCAACCACAAAATGTGGGTTATTTTCATCTTGAAGTTCTTGAAGTTGGGTAAATTGCTCATCCAGAAACCCCTACTCATAAAACAAGAACTCATCATGAAAAATCTAATCCAAAAGCCAAAAAACAAAAGCAAAGCAAACTTTCAATGATTATAGTGGCTAAATATAAAAACTATCCTCATAATGGAGCAGGGAAGAGATAAAATGAAAACAAAGCCAACTTTTCTTGAACGTCAACAGTTGCTAATACTATAACAAAACAAACCTCATGATAGAGTGAGGTTCTATAGTCAACCAACTGCCTTTGCAACTGAACCACATCCATTGCAGCAGCCTCCTTTAAGTTATATTTTCCCACTTGCAGATCTTACAGAACTATATCATGTTCTTGCCTTAAAAAGAGTGGGAAAGCTGAGCCTGATTAAATGGATATTATAAGTAAATGAAAAAGTCACACCCTTTCCTGTTTCTTTCTCTCTCTCTCCCTCTTTTGTTGTCCTTTTTTTTCCTTTCTCCTCTGGGTTTGTGTTTCTGTTTTATTTGCCTCCTTGATTTAACCTCTCATCATTTATGATCAAGTTGAAAACTCTGAAATATATAGTATATATAAATGCATCACTAGATCCAAAACTTGATGCCATGTATCATTAACCTTCCCATTTATATATTTTTTAAGTAATTATTGCCCTTTCTTTCTCTGTACATCATTTTCTTCAATTGTTTATTATTTTGATTTACTATGCATAGGGCCAGCCAACCTAAAGGATATGGCATTACTGCCAACACCTCCTTCAGTTCTAGATAATTTATTCCACTGTCAGCAGTAAAATCTGATACTATCTTAAATACTATAGCAGCAGCAGAAACAAATGTTTTCACACAATTTCCCATTGGTTCATGTCTCAAAAAAAACCAAAAAAATAAATAGCAAATAAATACTTATGAATGAATTTGGTGCCATAAGATACAAGAAGGTTAGGTCATTGTTATTGGGGCATGCTTATTTGCTGACAAATACAAGATTTTATTGCTTTGGAATGAGGACTTTGTCTCTCAAGGTAATTAGGACAATGAAAAGACAACATGTTTAACTCTTTCAAAAATTTTGCAATAACTAATAAACATTGGATGAAAAAGACCCATTTTTCCAAGCCAAATTTGCAGTAAAGTGAAAGTGATGTGATAACCATGTTACATGTTTCCATGAGAGAGATTTTGGCTTTGGGTAAAATTTTGTCTCCTTGTAATGCTGTTATTTAATCTTTGACAATAAAAAGTGTAAATTTCATCATTTTTTTAATAAAAATTATCATAAAATCGATTTAATCCTTCATGTTTTTGCTACCTCCATTATAAAACAACATCCCTATCTTAAACAATCAAGTTGAAATGATAATTCCTTTAAAAAAAAAAAGTTGGATCATGTAATTTTCTGACTTACTTCTCCTTTATGTTGCTTCCCTCTCTTCCCTCTTATCCCTTCCATTTTATGCCTATATGTTGTCAATCTTGTCAAGAATCTTATCATGTTGCTGCTCTCCATGCCACAGTTGTTGAATGTGTGTTTTTGGTGTTGTCTGATGGGGTAATATGTTTGATAGATTATTAATTGGTTAGGAGTGATTCAATAGTGATATTTGGCCACATAATATGCCTTAAAATCATTGCTTGTTTGGCTTTTACTTTCTCAAGGTTAACAAAATCTTCCATACGCTATCTTTAATTAGCTTCTTTTAATTATTACATGATTTTTATATTATAAAATTAAATTAAATTTGGAATTTATTGCAATTAATGTTCACAAACTTAAATTCGTGAATCAAACTATTATATATTTTTTTTGAAAATTTTAACTTATTCATAAATTTTTTAATTCTACTACTTATTTCACCAATAACAATATTATACTTAAAAATTCACTTAAAATTATAATTTTTAAAAATTAATTTTAATAACATATCAATTGATCTAAATATCGGTCGGCTCAAAATTTTTATGTTTAAAGTGAAGTTTGAATTTTCTTTCTCCTAAAAATCACATCTTATGTAAATTATGAAAATGATTTGTTTCTTGGTGCAGCAACCAAAGGCTTTGGATAAGCATAAACCTAGGTGAAAATTTTTTAAACATCATAGCCTAATTTTATATGTAGATAATGTTTATCTGATTGCTTTTTATTTTCTGCTATTTGTATCTTTAGCCCATATGTTAAAGATTTTTATTTTTTTTCACACACAAAGTTCCCAAATGGATGGAGGAATTATTTGAGGGGCCCTGGCGTGAATTAGAATTCTTTTGTCTTGGACCCTTGAAAATGATTTTATGGACTTTTGAAACTAATAGAACAAAAAATTGAAAAGAAAATTAGGTCTTTTTTAACATACTCAATTATCTGTCCAACATTGTTACAAAAATGTTTTGGAGGTTTGGTTAAGGTTGTTAAGCTGATTCCATGTCATAATCCCACTAGATTCTCTCTTGTGTGAAAAAAAAAATTATAATAAAATCGATGTTTAACTCAGTTAATCTTCGTAATCATTTTAGATTAATGTCAAAAAATATAATAATGCTAATTAATGAGGTGTATTTTATCTGGTTGTTCAACCTCTATGATTGCTTGGACTATACACATCTAATTAGAAACCCAAAGTCAAAATCATTTTAGAAAAAATGATCTTAGGAAATCTTTGTTTCCAAGCATTTTGTGAATTGGAATGGAAATGGGAAGAAATTACTATGCGTTTTCCAAGATCACTGACAAATTCCCCAAGATTGTTCTAATCAAATGCATTTGAGGAACAGTTGACAACATGATTTGCATTCTAACAGAACCGTTAATCAATGGCTGGCAAAGAGGTTAATTAGAACAACTCATGAGCTAGCATAGCAATTTAGGTTGGTTTCAGGCCGAATTTTGGGGACCCTCAATGGCATATTGAATATAGCCCATTCAACAGTATGTTGGATTACGACAATGCAGCCCTTAAAAGACAAAAAAAAAATGGACCCTTTCCAGGTGGACTGGACACCAAAAATGGCTCCAATCTCCATAGTCAGAGGGCCCCTAAGTGAGCCCTCTTAAGTTTTCTTTGTCAACTAGTCAGTCATTACTGTCATGCAGCCAAATTTCCTCTAGGGAAGTGCATTATATAGAAAAATAGTGAAGAGAGGAAATGGTGGAAGGGTATCTCAGTGACTGGTTAGAGTTAAAGGGACCACTGCCTGTCAAACTCCATTGATGGAAAGGGCATCTAGGTGGTGGACTGTTGGTGGGGGCCAAAATCCATGGGAGATTTCATGCCATAAATGAGCTGCCATGGCAGGCCACAAGAATACAAGGATGCAGGATGTTTTTGGGTATCCGGAGTTTTGTAAATGAACAGAACGAAGCTTATCAAAGAGAAAAGTTGGGATGAGTGTGTTTTCCTCTACAGTACTCAAATAGTGCAGAATGCCAGGATGTATATAATTCATGTACTAGTATTACCTACTAGTTTCTTGTTTCGTCTGGTATCAAAAGTTGGCTTATTCTTGAAAAACCAGAAAATCTCCATAAGGGCCCAAGAGCTGTGTGATGATTGCTTTGTTGGTTGCTGAGAGCTGTATAAATTTTGAAATAATTGAAACCAAATAGGTTCATATCACATGGCACAAGCACCCAGCTATTTTCAAACAGTATACAACTATACATAGAGAAAACCAAATTTACCGAGTTTAATCCCAACATTTGATTCAATGATTGATGCACCAAAAACAAATTAACCCAGACCCTGGAAAGACCAAAACTTCCAAATGTAATAAAAGGGCAAGAGATGTCAAGAATATTGGGGGGGGGGGGGGGGGGGCATCAAACAGGCTTATAGAAACAAAATTTAAACAAAAGAACACACCGTAGAGTAACTCATTTTCTTTTTTTTTTTTTATTAATTTTTCTTTTTCTTTGAAGAATGAATAATGTTACACAGAACAGAAAGAACATGTCCTCACAAATCATTTGTATTTATCAGTATCAATTTACAACATGTACACAAGTAGGGACGAAACCAGAGATTACCCTGGCGGCACAATAAGCCAGTCATAGTACTTGAATCAATCAGTCAGTAGCTTTTTAAATCAGCGAACCACACTTTCAATTAGTATGTGAATCCCCCCACAAGGCCGACGTTTGACCAAAGAACCAGAACTTGACAAATATAAATGTAACGCACGCATCTGGAAAGAAACACAAGTGGATCCAACTCAACCTGACAAAAGGAAATGATGATTTCAATAAGGTTTTAGTTTCAATAGATGATATAAAGATGATTTGTATGTTACATGCAGGAAGAAAAATTTTAGAAGCTTGGGTTTCCAAAGTAGAACGCATCATATATATCAAATAACACCTTTACATACTTACCTTCCTCAGAGAAGGCAAAAACACCCCCGAGCATATCATCATTGTCGCCTTCTTCCTCAGATTTTTCTCTATCACAAGGACTGCTGCTGCTGTCAGCATCAGTAACAACCTCAGTCGGTTCACAACATGTACTTAAGGGCAATGCTTTACAGTACTCTTCTTGAAAAAATTGCTCAAAATCTGGCGAGTCATTTACAGGCCCTTCATCTATCATGTTCAGACTCAAATCAGATCGGTTAGAACTTGTGTTTGAAACATCACTGGTTCCGCCACTGTTTGGAAATTGAACCTCCTTTGCAACAGTTCTTCCACCAGATAGATAGCCACTTGTTAATGATGACATACTATTAGTAGAATTACTATCTTCAATGTGACAAACGCCCATTTTAGATTGATCAAAAGAAACTGCACCAACATCTTTCTTAAGAGTGCTCTGGTTAAGCATAGGTGAGGCAAAAACAGAACTCTCTCCTTTTACTCCACCACTATCCTTTCCAGATTGAATGCTGGATGGATAAGAATTCCTTGATGATCCTGGTTAAAACACCAAGCATCAAATGAGTTACATGAACCCAGAAGTCTATCAAATGATATCGAAAATTTAAAACATTGTCATACCACCATCCGAGTTTTCAACGGAGCTAGGTGACAACAACTTGGAATGAGAAATAACAGTGACTTCAGAGAATCTTGCTTTGGCATCATGAGAAGAAGACATCGGATATCTTTCTGCATCAAAGCCCCTGAACAAAAAAAAAAAAAAAGGAACAGTGAAGGAAAATTCATATGGTGGTACCATGTAAATACTATCCTGCACCATGTAACACCATTGACCATCCTAAACCCCCCTCCCAACCTAAAAAATCACAAGATTTAAAAAAGGAAACATTGCCAAAATTTTCTTTCAGATGATATTCAGTTAGTTTGAACCAAAAGCAAGTCCAATATATTTTTTGGTGTACAGTGTTTAATAGTCAAACCAGAAAGGGCACAACGTGAAAGAACGCAGAAATTACCTATCATTCCATTCAGATTGAATCCGGCGAAAATGCTCAAAAACAGGCAATAAATCCCTCTGTCTAATTTCAATCTCATGAACAGGCATCTGTTCTATTTCAATTTCTCCACCATACTGATCTGCAGTGAAACTATGGTCATTGAACTCCACAGGACTCATTGTATGGAAAGATACCTAAGAAAATACATACGAGACGTAAGTAAAACTGGTGATGAGCAACAGTATGTCACGAACCTATTTTAAATAACTACCTTAGAGTTCTGCCAGATTGGTATCCTTCCAGAGCTTATCTGCACTTCTGCATTGGAAAGATACAAGTGAGACCGGTCATGGGGCTTTGACAGGTCCTTGTGCCCAGCATCATTATCTTCGGAATCAGAAACATCCATAATCATCTCTAATGCTTCTTTTCTTCCATGAGTCATTCCAGAAAGGCATTCCTCTCTTTCAGGCCAATTTGTTCTTCGGCATACATCCCATGCTTGCATAGCTTCAACTTTCACCCGTAACTCCTCTTCTTGCACCTGAAAAGCAGAACCTGGTCCAACTCTTGAAGCACTTTCACCTGCCTCTCCCCCAAAGGAAGGCAGTAGCTTATGTTGAACAATATGACCAGAAGGAGTGTAAACTAATAGGTGCTCTAAAACATTAGCGTTTACTTGAGCTCGCTGCAAATCATTAGGTAAAGAGTTATGAAAAACAGCAGAAAAAGCACCAGATGGGAAGGAGGCCTTTCCAGCAGCAGAAGATGCAGCATTGGTAACTGTATTAAGCCATCCAGAGTTTCCATTTTTTATTCTGCTAACAACAGAGAGGGTAACAGTTGGTGGTGCTGGAAAAGAAAATGTTTGGTAGTTTATCGTAAAAGATGGAGTGGACCACCAAGGGAGAGATACAACTGGTGATAAGATAGGCCCATCTACATGAGAATTCCGAATTTGGAGAACATTCTCACCACCGAATGGGGAAAGAACAAAAATATGGCAAGTACCCCGAGATGAAACAATGGCAATCCACTGACTGTAAGCACTAAAGCAAATATCTTGTATCACCTGCAAAACGAAAACGAAAACAAAAAATAAATTATAAATATATAAAACATTACAGTTTTTTGAAAAAGTATAAGGCACAGGAACATACAGCTGATGTCATGCCACGATGGAGCTTGTAAAGGTGCAAATGTGAAGAGCTCCGATCATAGCTTTGAGTGCCAGATCCATTCTTTGTTGAGGATGGCATAATCCGAAAAATATTTATATTGTTCCCATGTATTGAGGCTGTAACAAGAAGAGTCCCACTAGGATCAAATCTTAGAGCAGAAATTGGACTAGCATGAGCCCTGAACTGTGATACAACAGCTCTGGAAACAAAATCTTTGACAACAACCTGCAATGGACCATATAAAAAAGAAAATCCTAAAATTACACATATTTTCATAGTTGATAATTAGCGGGTCAAATCATTCTTGCCTTCAGTATTTCTAAGAACTAATGAGCCATCTTATCTCATCTGAAACCTCTGAGAAATTTCACTCAAACATGTATCTGATATAAAAAATTCAAGCACATAGGCAATGATATGAATAGTAGCCTTCCACACCAAGGTGGAATTAATGGGCAAAGATCATGTTATTACTATCAGGCAATCTAGCATAAGACTAAAGTTTGCTTCTCAAATACATCAACTACTAACCGTCCCAGCAATATCAGTCTCTGCAGAATGTGATACACCCCGACCAACTTTCCAGCCTGAATTTGAAGATATGGGAGAACCAGAACCATCGGGAATAAGATCTTGATAGTATTTTGACAAAGTTTTGTAGCCCATGTCACCCAGATTGATTAACCCAGCAGCTAATTGCTTACTAGATTCCATGGCATATCGAGCCACAAGACTCCCACTGCTGGGTGAAGTTGATGGACTAACACCAGGAGATGGTGTAAGGTTCTGTGGACTCAGGCGACCTGTATTTGACTGCAAAGGATTGTTCGAAGCATAAGCTAACCACCTGGGACCCACTGCCATGGGACCATATCCAATATTAATGCCAACCATTCCTTGGCCTCCTGCTTGGGGGACAGGATAGGTGAGGACACTAAATTTATTTTCAAGAGTGAGAGCATCGAAGCAGTATACCTGCCAACCAATAAAAGAAATTAGCATGGTTTAAATTGTTTCGCTCCAACTAAATAACTGGTCAAATAAAAAGAAATAAGGAACGTATTTAAACTAAACACCATCCACCAATTAACATCTTGACAAGATACAAGTAGTCCTGGGACCATCCAATCTGATTATTTTGAGTTGTACATTGAAGTAGAGCATTCCAAACATAAGAAGAAGTGAAGGATAAAAATTGCTCAATCTGTCTGTACTTTTTTATGAAAAATGTTAAAATACTAGTTGTACTAAAACTAAGTTTGAGAAAAGAAAAAAAAAAAACTAATTCTTACTTGTGTTGCAAGCCCCACAGCAACTATTCGAGGACTGCACCTAACCATATATACAGTTGACCGGAATCTCAGTACATGAACGTAATTGTGAGACCTTAGTGAATAGAATCGAACAGCAGTAGGAGAGATAGGAACATTTCCATTTTGAGGTTCATCAAAACCATCTCTAGCCAATCCATCTTTTCCAGTAAGCATCAAACCTGAGCCCTTCGACTCGTCACAGGCAACCACCAGAAGTAAAGGATGCGATGCTCTAAATCCTTCATGACCCTCAGACATTTCAGGGAGTGGCTGCATTTGTAAAAATGTAACTGGATCATCACGCCTTGAAACAAGTTCACTGAAATTAGAGGCATCTTCGACGTCAAGAACTTGAAAGCCATTGGAGTATCCAAGTAAGAGAACACGTTTAAAAGATAAGGAACCAAGATCCAGTCTGTCGAAGGAAGCCCAGAGCACCTGTTATATAAAAGAATTCCAATAAGGAGCAAGTTTCAAGGTAAATGCTTATAAAAGTTATGCGACCTGTCAAAGAGGAGTGCAACAAAAAACCATGGCAGGCAATGTGACACAGGTAAATCTATACCTGCATCTCAAATTCGCCCCCCCTTCTTAGGATAAGGGGACAGGGGTAAACTACTGCCCTCATTCTTTACAATGAATGATTCCCATCAAAATGGTGAGCAACTGATAACAACTTGCATACAATACAATGCAATTCAGCAGCTCAGTTTCCATTTTGGCAATTTTGACCTTAAAGGAACTCAAACCACAGCATGATTAGAATTAATACAACAGAATTGGCAGTAATAGAAAGAGCAAAGAAGAATCAACATGTCGGCACATAAAAAATCTTATAATAACTGACTCTGTTACTCTGTCCAAAAATCAATACGGTTCTCACACAAATAACTAAACTCTCCAGTAGGGATTTAAATTGCGATAGCCGTTGCATTTTCGGTCACGTCGCGTTTATCACAACTGTTGATGTAATGAAGATTTTTGCAGTCATTGCAATTATAGCAGTCATTAATTTTTTTTTTTTTATTTTGCTCAACTTACTATAAAATGTAGTAATTATAATTATTAATCATAAAAACTCTTATTTTATGATTTTTAAAGTAGTTTATATCATGTCATATCTTTTATATATTTAAGAAAAATTATTTATAATTTTTTTGAGATTATAGCAAAATATTTATATTTAAAAAATTACTTATATGATAGTTAGAAAATAACAAGAGATAAATAAACATGTGAAAAATAGATATCCATAGTAAATGGTATATTTGATTCTTTAAATAAATGATATATTTGATTCCTTAAATACCATATACTCATCAAGTTATTGCCAAATTATATTGTGCAAAAATCATCTAGCAAGTGGTTAGCCATCCATAATTTAAGCAGATGACATGATTTGGTTTTGGCACACTCTCCATTAATGCTTCTTTTTGTTTATGTCCTTTATACATTGTCTCTGTTCATGGGTAGTTTCAGGAAATTAAGCAAATATTTTAAGTACTAATTAGATTAATGCCACTTTTAAGCAATAACTTTGATATAATTTTTTTCAAAATTCAAAAATTGAAATGTTAATCATTATCTTGTGGAATTAATTAACAATTCTTTTTCTATTAAAAGAACTAAAAAATCTTTTAGCTCCCACGGTAAAATTTCCTTCTAAAAAAAGTTTCTCCTAAATAAAAAATTTCTTCCTAAAATAAAAAAATGAAGCTGGCTATATTACCCCTAAATATATATTAAAAAAATTCAACCCCCACACAACATCCATGTTTTTTCCGTAATTTCCCCCAATTCATTTACAATCTATTCTCTCTGGTCTCTACCTCTTGTCTAAATCCCACAGACAGACACCATGTCTTCTCATCCCCTCACCATGTGTTACAATAATTTTTCTCTCCAGGCCTTCACCCTCATCCTCCATTTCTCAAATCTCATTTTTTCTGATGTGTGCTCTCTGCTCGTCTCTCTCAACCTCAAGTCTCACTCTCATCTCTTGTCTCTAGTCTCAAGTCCCAGCAGCCCCTGCCCCCTAGTAGCAGTGCACCATAGCCCAATCCAGTCCCAAACACAGAATCACTGCAAATTTGAAAATTTTTCAACAAAAAAAAGTATTTTGAGTGCTAAATTACTTGCTTACCTTAAATTGCATGTGCTTGATTTTGATTCAGGTTGAATTTGAGACAATTAATGCCTTTGGAAGTCTAGGTTTTGTGTTTTTTTTGGCTGAATTTGTGAATTGATGTATCTTTTCAGGCTTGCTTTTTCAGTTTTAAATTTTTAACCTGAGTCAAATGAAAAATTTTTTTCCTCGAATTTTTGAATGGAAAACAGAGTAGTGGGCAATAACGGACTGCTGTAGCCACTATTCAACGTTATGCCGCATTTCGCAGCCGCGATGTGCCACTACAACTGGGATTCAAATTCTCCTCTGTTTTTTCCAGAATAGCAGTGGCAGATAGTGATGCTACCGCAAAATAGCGGCCACTATACTGCTATCTCGCTGCTATTTAAATCCCTGCTCTCCAAAGTCATTGTTTCCAGATTTATAATCTAATCTTTCTCACAAAGCTACAACCGTAAATGGGTCAAGCAAATGATCAATTTTTTTTCTTTTTTGCAACATAATGGCATCTAAGTCTAAGCCTCTATGGTGATTTTGACCTTGAAAACATAATTCAGGCATTACAATGACTTATAAAGCCCTAAAACAATCCATAAACACAGAGATTTTTAGCATCAATGTAATGAAAAATAATCAATTCTATAAATAAGCATCACTTTCCTTAACTCCCTAACACATCATTTTCTGACAAATATCATCTAAATATTGGTTTGGTTAATACAACAAAATCAATCAAAATTAAAGCACTAAATCCGCTGATTATATAATCAACTATCTTTCATTTGCCTTCATTGAATAAATTATTCACAACTTCATTCATTTTATAAAGCTCACAAAAAGAAAACATCATTTTCAACATAACAATGCAATGTCCATTCAATGGCCACTAAAAAACACAATAGTTATATATACTTTAAAGGAGAGATTCCTATGCATCTTTTAAAATTTCTTTGATAACGCATCATAGTCAACAATCAAACTTAAATTTCAGCGAATATTAACAAATAAGATCTAATTCACCAGAAGAAATTACACTTTTAGCTCTAAATTACAGCATTCACTTCACTAAGCCCAAAATCATTAGAATAAGTATTTTTTACTTTAATTTAAAAAAAAAAATTTCTCCACATTTAATTTTCTCTTTATTTTTTCTGAGCAGCCAAACAGAAAAATAAAACTAAAAAGCAGCTTATTTTTCCAAACAAGTAATCCCTAAATCAGCAAAACAACGAAAAATTAAACCTAAATTAATTAAGGCATAATTAAATAATCAAGAGCTAATAAACAATAATAAAAAAATTAAAATAGAAAACCTGGTCCTTTTGGTGTTCGTGGCCGTCTCCAGAAATAGAAGCAGCGACGGAGGCACTAACTGTTCGGACACCGGAAGAGGCAGTTTTTATGCAAGAAGATATGAATTTCAAAGAATTTGGCAAAAAACCACTATTATTATTATGAATATTATTTTTATTATTATTACTAATGTTGGCGCCTTTGTTGTTTCCGATGCTGCCGTTGCTCCTCATAGTCAAGAGATAATCCAAAATTAATTTCTTTTGCCGGCCACCGGGGCGTTACCGGGAAAGAAAAAACGATCGGCAATAGCATAAGAGGAGAAAAACAGAACGGCGGCGTTTCAAGGTTAAACGGTCACCGGAGATGAAAATTCTTTTTTTTTTTTTTTTGCGGTGGTTGGGTTTGACCTTTTTAACAGAGAGGAAGGATAGAGAGGAACAGAAAAAACGCTTCTTTGCTTTCTTTGTTAAATGTTAATTGCAGTGTAAGCAACAAAATGGAGGAATTATAGATGAGGCCTGCAAAGTTTTTTGAACAGTTCAATTTAGTCCTCTTTGGTCAAAAAGATTTGGTTGACAGGTTATCTGCTAATTTGAGTAGTTTTTGAACTTTGGTGAGTTGGGAATGTGAAATTACTTTATTGCCCTTTCATATGATAATGAGAAATCTTGTATATTTATACCAAACCTAAAAGAAATTTTGGATGAGAGATTTTTTAATATTTATCCTATTTTTATCATATTAAAAAAATATTTTTAACCCTACTTAAATTTAGATGCTTTGAATATTTATTAGCTTTTACATGAGGTCTAGATTCATTTAATAAATATTTATAATAAATTAATGAAATTAAGTTAGTTTCTTCACTTTTTAATCAAAATTAATTTTTAAATTTTAATTAATTATTACATTAGAATTTGATAAAACTATAAACATTAATTATTTTTAAAAAATTTTAATTTTTTAATTGTGAAATCTTATTCTTCTTGTTTCACTTATATTGGTCAAAAAAAAAAAGTGAAACAAAATTTTATTAAAACTGTGTATCAACCAATTAATAATTGACGCTTGGTAACATGAAAGTCAAGCCCAATTTTGTTGACAAAAAAAAATGAGCACACGATGTCGGAATTATGAAATTCATTGGTGATCAAATGAAAAGATTAAAAAAAAAAGGGACGAAAATGAAAAAAGTGAAAGAAAATTCAGGGGCAAGAAAGAAAAAATGAAAAGTTAAGGGGAAGATCGGTTACGTTACGACAAGGGCGAGAATATCTTAAAGGGAGATGCCGAGCCACAAAATGCGGGGATAGATTTGTACAGTTGTCAGCCGTTAACTTTCACATACAAATTTGGAGAGAGAACAATAATTAATAATTAAAATAAAAAAAAAACTAAAAATTAAATAAAATTCCAAAAGAAAACCAAACCAAACAGCTCAAAGAGATTATGCTAACTTGACGTGTCAGCTTCATTTCCTCCATGCCATTTCGATCTTACTTGTCATTTTAAACTTGTCTTTCAAATTTTTGTTTGTTTTTTTAAAATATTTTTATCACATTTTTTTTATGAAATTTGAATGTTAGTAATGGTATATATTTTATAATTAATATACTTTATATTTTTTAAATTAAAATTCTTATAAATTTAAAATTTAATTCTATTAATTCATAAATTTTTTTAAAAAGATATATTATTTTGTGTATAAAATTTAAATATCAATATTTTTAAATTATAATTTTTATAAATTAGATTTGACGATTCGTATATTTATATTATATAAAAAATTAATTTTTATGTGTTTGTATCGTATTTTACGTGAAATTACATATTATAATTTATGTTGATAAAAAACATAAAATATATTTTTTTAATTTTGTTAAATTTATATATAATTATTGTTAAAATATTATTTATATTATATTTATATTATATTATTATATTATATTTTAAATTATTAAATTTACCGTAAATAACAAAAGTGCTAATAAAACACCAATTACATGGATATCTTGGAAATTTCAATCATTGGTTGCTTGTGCTTTTAGAATTTGACGAGAATTTGGGAAGTATTTATTTTCAAAAGAATATATTACAATTTTTCATACCTTGGGAAAAGAAGATAAGGATTGATCATTTCACATTGATTGCTTAATTCAGCATTGATTTGATGTTCAATTCTTTCCATTTAATCACCAAAGTATCATCATGAATAATCCTTGATTTACTCAAAACACTAATTGAAGAAACCAAACCAAAGCAACCCCATTTCTAAACTTGGTCAAGACAACCTTAAAATGTGGTATAACATGTTTTTTATGGGGTATCTCTTCATGTTTTTTGTCCATAACATCAATCATCCAAAACTTCAAATTAATCCAAATTGAACATTCTACTCTGTTCAAAATTGTTTCTTGCATATATGTAGTTTCAAGTTCCTTACAAGTTTCACACCGAACCTTAAATATACATTGAAAAGAAAACCAACAGAAGCAAACTGTTTCACATGAAATTTGGAAGAGCTTTGAATTGGTTTTCATGGAGTAAGAACCAATGCTTCCAAATGCCATGGCAAACAGTATTCCAGCAAACCTTCATACTTAAAAAGACCTTATGGTTTGAAAGAAGTTAACTAGCTTTTAAGAACCTAAAGCAATCTCCTGGAGTCGATTGATGTTGCTTAGATGTTTCGTAGAGTTGTATTCATGTGCATCCAAGAGTTCGTTCGAGTATGTTCTTTGGATGGATCGCCTTTGGGATTCTTTAAAACAGTCTGCTACATATTCATCACCCCTCAGCAGTATCACGACCTGCATTGAAAACAACTTGGTTAACTTGTTATCATATATTTGCTGCAGCAAAACTACATAAAATATGATTATCCTGAGTATGCAGAAATACAAGGGTGATCTAGAATAAGAGGATTAATGACCTTTCATTTTCGATAAAGCTCAACATATGATTGGCCATTAATAAATTAAGGACAAACGAAAAGCATGAGTCATAGACCATGTCATTGCTTTTCTTGCTTCTGGAAGCAGAAAGTGATTTTGTAGGCTGAGATATAGTTGCTTGTGATTTAGATATTCTTGATGCTATATTTTCTAGGTTTCAACACAGATGTCCTAAAGAAGGAAAAATTACTTCATTTTCATTTAAGATGGTTCAGAGAAATTAACCAGAAGTAATCATAAACGAAACAGATGCCACAAGCAAGTGGAGGTGGATGAATTTTCTTGGTAGTAACTGCAAAGAGAACTTCCTACAGGAGGTTCTTTAGAACCATGCTCAACTTGATTGCTAAATAGAAAACAAGGTCTGCTCATCTTCAAAATGAACTTTAAGATTCAGTTAAGCAATTTAATGAAATTCTACACTATCACATAGAGCATTTTACTAGCAGTTATAAACCTCTAAACTCTCCCAGGTTCCACACCAACTTTGAGAAAAATCCTAAAGCAAGAATACCAAAGGAAAGGGTTATTGTCCTTAGGTCTCTAACAATAGTTTCATTCTTTCTTCCTACTGCTTGCTGGTTCATTTTACCGCTGAGCAAGTTATTGTTAATAGGATACTACCATTGAACTTGGACAAACATGCAATTGATAAATATAGTTTGGTGTTGTTTGTAACAGCAAACAAGATCAGCATGTCAGAAATAAATGAACCACCAGGCTTGCTTTCTAGAATGAATCGATGATTCATCAGTACGAAAAAGAATTAAATCATAAAAGTACTATTGCTTTCCAAATTAAATGAGATGATGCACAAACCTTTCAAAACAGACATGTTAGTTATCAGATCAAAGTTCATATTTTCATTTCCTAATCTTACTTGCAGCGTACATTAACCAATAATGTGTTACTCATCATTTATATAGGGATATGTCATATTTATTGCTCCAATTAATTAATTTCTTAAAAGAGTGAACAAATATTCAAAACCTTCTAAATCTAATACTAACCTGACTCATTTGAGGACGAAGAATAGGAGACTGCTCGATGCACAAAGAGGCAGTTAAAACCATGCGATCCACCTCCTCTTCATCATAATCATCACCTAGGGAAGGATCTACAAGATCTTTAATATCGTTCTCATCAAGCAGAGGCTTTGCCTATAAGAATTAAAAGGGTAAGTAAGGATTTTTTACAATTATGATATGGTTGGAATGATCAAATTCTTCCTAAGGAAATGTACCCATATCACAACGCTTTGCTGTTGATCATCTAAAGCTTTCCGTCCGGTTATGAGCTCTAAAAGTAAAACTCCAAATGCATAGACATCAGTTTTCTCATCAACTATCCCGTGCATGAAGTATTCAGGAGCAAAGTAGCTGCATCTCAAAAACAAATGTGTCAGCATTATGAAAAAAGTATTTATTAACTCAATATAGATATGGCTTTCAAACCCGAAAGTGCCTTCAAATTTTGACACGTTGTAGTGAGTCCACTGTCTTGGTAGCCACTTGGCAAGGCCGAAATCGCAAATCTGAATGACAAATTGGCTGACGTAATCAATAAACAAAATGGACAAAGGAAATGATAATACAAATGTTAAAGGACAGTTGACATTTACGATGACAGATCATTAGGAGCTTTACAAAACATCTGTCACAAAATTTCAAAAAAATAAAAGGACAGATATAATCACCACCATTATTGGTAGATCCTACTCATATATGTTGACAAAAATAAAATTATAGATGCTAGCCGCTCATTGGAAAGAAAACAATGGAAACAATTTTCAGATCGAAAAGACAATGAAAGTACTACACTCCTGCATACTTCTCGACAAGATATTGAGTCAAAATACTTGATTTTCATAACAAAAACATGACATATAATAATCTAAAACTTTCATCCTAACTGCAGGCACATGCAGAATGAGCACAAAGGAAGAATGCAATCAATATCTCACATATGCTTCACTCCTTAAGTTGAGGCTTATTTGAGCCATCTCATTGGCTCCATTTAAATTGCAAAACTTATACCGCAGAGATTAAGGCTTGCACAAGACTTATACCTTACAAGGCTCACCTTGTGCTTAAGCTTAACAGAAGTGTTTGGTATAACAACCAAAAATCTAGGATAGCAACGCAAAGAATTTTAAATTTTTTGGCCAGTCATTAAGGAAAAGAAAACAAGTTAGTATTAGGTGATTAAATTGGCTTCTTTATGGCTTTGAAAAATTTAAGATTTTAGAACATAGCAATTGTTAATTATACTGAGTTTTTCTTCCTTTTTTTTCCCCATATTGCAATTGAAAGATCCTAATTTCTAACTCTAGATTCTTGAAAATTAACCTAGTGATTGTGTATGTCTCTGCAAGCAATGTAATTCATTTCTATGTATTCATTAGATTTTATATTTTTCTCATTTTGGGATGTTATCAACAGTTGTAGATTTTGTGAACATAGTAAGTACTTAGTAAAGACTAAAGACCTGGTATGCATGGGGAGCATTCTTTATGTTTAAAGATCAGAGGGAGACAATAGTTTCGATCGATTTGTATCAATATAATATTCTTTTTTTTTTCTCCTAACTATCCATTATTTCAATGTAGTAGGTAAATGGCAAGGAGAAGTAAATTATGTTCTACAAAAGAAAGTGAACTAAGGTAATCAGAAGTCATATAGTTGGAGAAACTGGAAGTATGCATAGATATTTCGAAAAATTTATAGCACCTAGTTCACATAGATAACCATAAGTACCCAGCTTACAGAATATTAGTTCTAGCACTCTACAAGGAAAAGCATTCTCTTCTTGTCTCCGCATGTTAGTTTCATGATTTCTTTGTATCATGAAATATACAGATGCGCACTCGTGGTTCTGTACACTCTGCATTCTTGCAAATCTTTCACAACCCTTGGTTTTTAAACATCTCATTTGGTGTATCCTTTGAATTTTAAAGCTTGAAAGTACCTGAGGCTCAAAGTTCTCTGTAAGCAGAATATTATCAGACTTGATATCTCTATGAATAATTCGCCTTTCACAAGTCTCATGAAGATATGTGAGGCCATCTGCTATACCCAAAGCAATCTTATATCTTTTACTCCAATTTAGTGTACCTCTTGAACCTGGATAATGTCAAGAGCATCAAAAAGTTCTCTTAAATTGAAGGAAATAATGAATGGAGAAAAACAATGCAGAGTAGGAACAAACCATGAAGAACTGATCCCAAACTTCCCAATGTAGATAACGCAAAAACAAGGTGCATTCCACCCTCAATGCCACACCCAATCAACTTAGCAGTGTTTGGATGGTTTACATGGGCTATAACTCCAAGCTCAGATAGGAAACCAGCTGTCCTCTCATCAAGTGTCCCTTTTGTCAGCCGCTTTATTGCTAGAAGCTTTCCATCTTCTAAACAACCCTTGTAGACTTCAGCATAACCACCCTTTCCAATTATGTTCTCTACAAGAAATCGAACCCTTATAGTTATCTACATCACTAAATCAATGTCATAATATTTCTGTAATAACAGTTTCATTAAGCACACTTACCATTTCTCATGATTAAGGAGATAGCAAATAATAATTCTGCCAAATTCTTGAATAGAAGTGGGCCAATATTCAAATGGTTTTTGCAAGTATTCTATGTCTTGACATTAATTGCATACCTGGGTTAAAGTTGTTTGTTGCAGCTTGGAGCTGACGTAGGCTGAAGTTCTTTAAAGAAGACTTGAAGTTGTATAAATCTCTCAGCACAGGATTCTCTTTTGTGCTCCTGCTGCTTTTTCTTGATAGCTTTGGTACAGTAAGAGGGGGAAAGGAAGCTAAATGCTTTCCTGGTCTTCTTTTCCATAATTTAAAGAATTTTCTCCAGTTAGAAAACGCTCCTGAATGTGTACAACGAATTTCTGCCTTGGGGCTCTCATCAGGAGAAGTCATATTGGATTCCAATCCTAATCCTAAACAGGCTTCTATAACTCCTTTAGGAGATGATCCATCTTTTTTCTCCTTTTCTGTGTTTAGGCCGCATAATTCTTCAATAGAATAAGAGAATGGTAAGAGCATGGACTATTGAAACATATGCACCAAACAAGGAACAGATAGCTCATAGACAAACAGAGAGACAGAGATAACTACCATGGGCTGATGAATATGAAGAAAATATAGCCCCTTGTCTTTTATGTCTTGCTTGAATAACCACATCTTCTGAGTTCTTCCCTGGCCTGTTGTCAGAATCTGTGCAGTTCTCACTGGAAGAAATCAATGGCCATAACAAACCAATAATCAGTCAAACCCAAATAAAACCGACAACCGGAGTCTGTGCTTGTTTCAGCATATCTGTAAGTACTTTGTTTTGGGAAGACAATTATAGGATAGAATTGGTGAAAGATTTGCTAAATTTTCCAAGATAGAATTCTTTTTTATGACATAAAACAAAATACAAGCCAAAGTGGAATTCATCATCAGACCTATGAAAACTTGAAAAGCTAAAAAGAACATAGCCATAAACTAGATTAATCCAAAAGAGAGAGGAAAAAGAAAATATTATACCAAGATGTAAAAACATTAACAAGATTTCCATAAAACAAAACATGAAAATGAGAAACATTATAAAGAAGGAACATAACCAAAAGTACTTGTCTTCCATATATGGTGCGTGTAGAAAAACCCTCAAATTGATAAGCTGAAACTCACAAGTATCAAACATGACTATACAGAAAGCCCGAAATGACAACAAAATAGAATAAAAACTAACAATTTTCTTTGTAATACAACAGATAGAAGAAAAAAATAAAAAAAGGAAAGAGAGTAAAAAAATTCTTTACAATTTGTTTATCTTTTCTAAATACAAAATAGAAGAAATCATTGGTCACCATTCAACAAACATTTGGTAAAAAGAGAAAAAGAACTCATTTGCTAACATTCAATGAACTTTCAATAAAACTAAGGCATACCCAAATGAGATAACATGAAGAGGAACAACAACAACCAATATTCCAACATTCAAAAAACATCAGCAAAAAAAAAAAAAAAGAACTAACTCTTAGAAAAAAAAAAAAAGAAATACCCAGACAATATAACATGAAGGAGAAAACAAAGAAATCATTTGCTAACAATCAATTAACAACAAAAAGAAAGAACAACACAAAAAAAAAAAAATCCCAAATGAGATAACATGAAGAAAAACAAATACATACCTCGAAGTAGCATGCTTATAGTCATTATCATCGGCCATGAACACTCTCAAAACAAGCAAAATAAACCAAACCAAACTAAACCAAATGACAATGTGATAGAGAGAAAGCAATGCAAAGCAAAGCAAGTAAGAGAAAGAGAGAGAAACGAAACAAACAAAACAAGCGTTGTAGTGGTTTCTATAACATTAAAGCCCTGTTCTTTAGTACATAATTTTGACCCCACCAAAAAAAAAAAGTTGTTTGTTCTTGTTTTCTTTCAAAGACCCTGAAAAAAGGCAATTTGATACTTAAAATAGCTATACATGGAAATCTTTTCATTACTTTCCCTTTTTTTTTCTAAAGGAAGTAAAAGTACTTGCTATACAAACCAACCTTTGCATTAACTTTGGTTTGTTTGTTTCCCACTTTTCTATTACATAAGTCCGCAAGAATCGTTGGTTTGCTGTGTTGGGTTGGTGACATGTGTTAAAAGTTCTGTAGCGACTTCTCCTCTCAACCTTAAACGCTCAAAACTGTGCAATCAGACGGAGAGAAGACCGAAAGTAAAAGTTCCCTTTCTTCTTTTTTTTTCCGCTGAAAAACAAAATTTGAAGTTCTTTCAGCAAATTTCATGTTTTGCAATTTGCGCTACAAAAGTTTTAGATGAGACAGTTCTTAATTCTATGTTTTTGTTTTCCCAAAAGTAAATAAATAAAATTCTTGGTACTTGAAATATTAAAGGAAGATGTTTATTTAATTGGATTGGTTAATTTTAAATAAAATTATTTAAAATTAAATTAATTAAATTATTTTATTTTATTTTATTTTTATTAATTAAATCAAATTTATTAATTTTAAAAATGATTTCATTGAATTTTTGTTAGTTCCATTAATTTTTTTTGACTAATTGATAAAAATCGAATTTTGAATTAAATTAATCAAAAATTAAAATTTTTTAAAATATTTTTATTAATTATTAAAATTAATTAAATAATCAATCAATAAATCAATTTAATCGATTAATTCGCTTAAAATCTAATTATGAATACCATTGATTAAAGTATATGTGTTCATGAATGAGGTTGAATTGGACCAAACTTTTTTGATACTCAAGAATTTTGTCCAAAATTTGACTTAATTCATTTATTTATGCTCATTTAAATTTGTTATTATTTAAAATATTAATAAATAATAATAATATTTATAAATATATTTTAAAATTAAAATTAAATAAAATTATTTTTATCAAAAATAATACTTCTAACCCACTCACATTTGAAAACCTCTATTTAAGCTCTCACCCATAAACATGTCTAATTTAAAGGAAAGATACTTTTTTCTTTACTTTTGTATGTGAATTAAAGAAAAAAAAAAAAAGAGCACCTGAGCATTTAAGTCATCAATAATAGATGCATATATTTATTCACTCAAAATTTTTATTTGTATTTTCTTTTAAATTAAAAAAAATTGTACACGTAAAAATACACACTAATAAAGTATAATAATATTAGCAGTTGTGGGCATTTACTATATGCCCATGCTTCATAAATAAGCATTGAGTTGTGTACTTAAAACAAACATTTTTTCCTTTAATGATTGAGACACTCGTACCAATAATAAAATCATTTTGAAATACTAATTTTAAATTTGATAATTTAAAATATAAATAACATGATCTAAATATAATACAAAAATAATATAATTTAAAATTATAATAATGATTATATATAAATTTAATAAAATAATTTTTTTTATGTTGACACAAATTATGATATATAATTTTTATATAAAATACATTATAAATATTTAAATTTTAATATTTTATACGATATAAATATATAAATTATTATATCTATATGTTAGCCATCGAATATGAATGAAACGTGAATTGATAAGTGCAATATAATTCTTCTTTAAGAAGAAAACAAAAACAAGTAAATAGACATTAATCAACATTTATTATATACTAACCTTTTTCAATAATAATTTTTATATATTGTTTGTTGTTCTTTTAAACTATGGAACGTTTGAAAATTATTATTTTTTTGTATAAAAAAAATTTCCAACTCCACTCATAAAAATTGTTCCGTACATGTTTGATAGAGTTTTTAAAATTTTAGAAGGTTATCCTATACTTTATTAAGGTTTATTTAAAATAATTAATGTAGTAATATTATAAACAACATATCAACAAAAATATTAATAAGGTATATCTTTAACCGAAGTCACAGAATGATTTGATGAATAAATATATCAAATTCAAATAGTATTGTTGTTTCGAGGTGATACAAACTCTTCTTGTTTTCATTTAGTTTGGAGCATCATTTGTCACATACTCTAAAAGTCACATTAGCGGTATAAAAAATAATATTCATTAATATTTAGGGTTATTTATTCGATCAGTTTGATTAATTTCAAATTGAATTATTTAAAATTGAATTAATCGAATTATATTATTTTATTTTAATTAACCGATTCGAAATTATTAATTTCAAAATTTAACTTAATAAATTTAATTTGTTTGATTCGATTAATTTTTTCAGTTAATCGAATAATAAATATATTAACTTTTAATTATATTTGAAACTTTTAAATTTTCATATTTTAAACAAATTAAATAAAATTATCCAACAAAATATTTAAATACTCAAATATTATGTTAAAACTCTAATAACTTATGAAATAAAATAGTCCATTTTATATATTTTTTATTTTATATTGAATTTTATTATATTTCGATTAAAATTTCGATTAATTTAATTTTTTAATTGAATTAATTAAAAATCATTATTCTTTTTTAATTATTTTTGTTAATTAATTCAAATTAATTCGATGATCTATTGATTAATTAAATTAAATTAATTTGATCAATTAATTCGATTAAAATCTTTAACAATGATGTTGTTATTAGTATAAATAATAAAGATAAAATCAAATCTGAATAAAAATTTTAGATTGAAGGGGATCAAACATTTTTTGAAACTCTACTAACTGTTTCAATGCAAAATCAGCCATGGAAGGGCACATGGTCACCATCAGAAGGGGAAGGTTAGAATGTCGTGTTGGGTACTGCCATGACAACAACGTTTTGAAAAAACAAGCTAGCGTTGGTGTCAAGACAACGTTGTTTTCCTCTAACAAAACAGTTAGTGGCTTTTCATGAGTTTTATTATATTGTTGTTGTCTTTCCTCTTCTCATCTTTCAATCAAATTTTAATATCACCATTTTATGATGGAGAGATTCAACCTAACTTTTTGAGCAAATCAATTAGCTTGATTTTATATGTTACACACGTCGTAATAGTTTGAATTTGAAAAAATAGTGAATTGAAAACGAAGAAAATTAGATATTATATATGTACTGTTAGTTTAATAATACTAAAAACAACTTTAAAATTAAGGTTTCAACTTGGAATTTCAATTGTAACAAAAAAAATATATACTATAGTTTACCACCAAGCTTATTGTATAACAATGATGAAGAAATAAGAACAATAAACAAGCTTTAAATGTGAGAACGTGGGAAACCTGGCTCTATGTCCAATTGATGTGAACTATCTTACATATGTATAAACTGTATTTTCGATGGTCTTTTTTAAGGATAGCGAAGGAGACGACATAACTGTTTTTCTGTAACATAAAGTAGAATCTCATAAAACTAATGAAAGTTATGGGTGAAATAAAGAAAGATCAATGAGGGGTTAGTATTTCTGATCATCATTCATCTGTTTCATAATAAGGAAAAAACTATAGGCAGATAAGATGACCCAAGCATTTAGGCAATTAAATCAATGGCCAAGTAGAGCAAACCCATGGCTTTCCCATCCAGAGGCCTGAGTTTGAACGAAAATTGGTCTAAGCCATAAGATTCTTGAAGTGTATAATTGAGCTTAATTGGACATAGCCCAAATTACTCCTAAATTGGGGTAATATTTGGTCCAATGGAGACCAATTATCAATATAAAAAAACACCATTTTCCTTATTTTCCAGGTTTTTTGGCTAACTCATTATATAAGCAATGACTGTATGTAATGTAACTGGTGGTTGGATATGGGAATATTTATAACGAGACAAATTGATCTGAAGTTGAAATAAAAAAGATCGAAGAATCGTTCTGTTGCTGGAGATGCAAGCTTTGTACATGAAGCAGAAGTCATTGCAAGTGTAAAACATGTCAATCTTGTTGCTTTAAGAGCTTCTGTAATTCCAACAGTTCCTTTGGAAGGTCATCAGAGAATCATTGTTTGTGATTTGATGCATAATGGAAGCCTCCATGATCATCTTTTCGGTTTAGGCCTGTTCGTCAGAAGACAGCCCTTGGAACTGTGGGAGGTTTAGCTTAGTTGCATCACGGTCTGCATCCTGCTATTACTCACAGAGACATCAAAGAACATTATTCTGGACTAGGCATTTGAGCCAAAAGTTGCAGATTTCGGCCTGGCAAAGATCAAGTCAGAAGGAATGACACATTTCAGCACGATAGTCGCTGGAACTCTAGGCTATGTTGTTCCAGAATAAGCCCTGTGCGGCAAGTTAACAGAAAAAAAAAATGATGTTTACAGCTTTGGGGTTGTGCTTCAGGAGCTTTTGAGTGGCAAAAAGGCAAATGCCAACAGTGATGGATAGATTTTCCAACTGACAGATAGGGCCCGGGAACTTGTCGAACAAGGGAGGGCATTAGATGTTATTGAACAAGGCATGCCAAGCCAGACATTGGATTGCCAGAAGTTATGGAACACTATGTATTAATTGCTGTTCTTAGCTCTCTTGCGATATTACATATCTTTTAGGCCAACAATGAATCAGATTGTGAAAATTTTCCAAACTGGTTTTTCATTCAGCTTGTTCAGTTCCCAGGGCTTGCCCTGATCCTTGTATTATTGAGGTTATCAGTGTATAATTCCTTGAATAAGTTGAATTTTATTTCTTGTAGTATTCATTATAGAATTTCTTTACAAAACTAAGGATTTCTCTGTATAATAAAGTTCCTTGTTTCACTAGTATTCCTTTTTTAAAACTGACAATGATTTTATTAGCTATTGTAATCTTCTAGTGAAAGAGTACTTCTTTTAAATACTTGATCAGACTAACATCATATATAAAAGGTTAAACATAAACCCAATACTTATCTTTCTTCCATATACTTTGTTTTACTTTCACAAAATCAAATTGGTCTTCCTGTTTGTAGATTGTTGAATATAGCGTTCACTTCGTCACCAGCATATATATATATATATATATATATATATATTACAAAAGAAGCCGCAGCTCAAGAATAAGAAAGGTTTACAGGTGCTTTTCCTCGTAATAATTATTATTATTTTCTTCTATGGCACCATAATTGGAAGGACTTCAATCAATTGACAGCTTCA